TTTCCATGCTGTGCTAACATGCTGGTGAAAAAAATTGCCTTTTAGCAAAACGAGTTAGACGAGGTAATACGGCAGACTTATACGCTCTTATCATGTCTTTGTGCAAATAAATCCGTTACATTGATTACTACTGCTAGACAATAGAGATCATAGCTAAGAGATACATCCACGGCATAACATTCATATTTGTGTATCCATCCAGTCTGATTGAATCTCTAATTCTCCAAGCCATTTGACCCCCATCACCCCTAGATCGAACAATGTACGATCTTCACAAGAGGGCAGCAAAGTGGTGATGTCTTTCGCCAGGTAATTGATGATTGGCGACCATATCGGGATTCGGGATTCTGTATGCTGGAGTAACATCGAGCTTTCCATCCAGCTCAAGAACCCCAGTCAGGATGGGAAAGTGATAAAAAAAGGATCCCGGGCAGCAACAGGAGTGCATCCATTTCGATGGCATTCGCGACGGGGTAGATTCCATTAGCAAGAACGGATTTCTGGTCATACTCATACGGCATTGCATACTCGCGTTGTGTGCGACGTATACCATAGATAAGCTGATTGGGTTGAACCAAGAGGTTTTTCACACTGGGCAGTGCAGAGACGAGAGAATTGGTCCATGGTGGGATGGCAATTTTCCACGAGGGAAAGGCGCTGGCTGCTGTGTCAAGTGAAAATATGGGATATGGACCTCAGTCCATATAGTGGTAGCATTCATTACCAATTGACGTCGCTGAGCTGGAGTTTGCGAGAACGGAAGGCGGACCGGTTCGCGCCGGCTTTGTCCATCCGCTGGCCGGTGGGGGTGCGCTTTTCTTGGGTTGCTGCTTTGGGATCTCTCAGTTGGAAATTCTTTCGGTTAAGTAGGGGATATTGCTCACTCTCGGTCGGTTCGGGTTCGGTCGACGCCTCGTAGTTCAGGACCAGGTTCTTGATGCGCTGCTGTTCTTCCCGGTCGGCTTGTTGCTGGCTCCGCATGGCAATGGCAAAGGTCGAGTCCGACGGGAGATCGATGGTGCGGGTCTAGATATGATTAGCAATTTGCAAAATATTGCGGATGTGGATGCAAAATTCTACCTGTTGCTTGTTTCCCTTCTTTGTCATCAGGGAGAAAGCCATTGTCTTAGGCGCAACTGGTTCTGCCGGGATTGGCTCGGGGCTGGAATCGCTGGGCATGTTTTCGCGGGGGCGTTTCATAGGAAGAGGGATATCAAAGACGGTCTTGCGTTCAAACCGTCTCGAGTCCATGCTCTCAGCCATCATCTTCTCGAATTCTCGATCAAATTCAGCCTCGGTTACTGGGTCTCGCTCCTCTTCCTGTCTGGTAACGACGATTTGTTCGTCCTCAGACTCGCTATCGCTGTCGTCATTTGCCTCTTGATTGGGTCCAGATGCCTTCGACGGGTTAAACGGGTTAATGGGTCGTACTTCATGCAGACGAGATGGGGGACCTACTTCGGCCTCATCGCTGGATTCCTGGTCTTCGTCTATTTCAGGAATAGCATCCTCCTCAAGGTCCTCGTCAGAAGAGCTACTTTCCACATCTTCTTCGTCGGCTTCGGCCTCAACGGGTCTCTCGGAATCCTGCACATTGTAGTTCAGGGCAACAGCTTCGCTGAAAATCCGGGTCGCTTCTTCACCCTCGGTAGCGAGCTTCCACTGCGGGCGAATAGAGTGGTACGTATCCTGGACAAGGAAGTCGACATCCATGGGCAATGGATCCTTGGTAAATAAGTAGTACTGGAAGAAGGCAAGGAAGAAGTCGAGTTTCTTCTTGGCGGAGCCACGGTCGAAGCAGTGGCCACACGTATCAAGAAGAGTGCATGCCAAGCGCAAGCGGAAGTAGTCGTCTGGCAAGTCCAGCATACTGATCTTTCCAGGGGCCGGGGTACCACCTTCATGGCCAAAGGTGATGATACGGTACAATGTATCGAAGATCACGGGGGAATCAATCATCTTGTAGTTGTAGAGCTCACCTAGATATTTGATTTCCGCAATGCGCTTCTGATTAAACTTGAAGTCGTTCTGCTCAAGGCCAAGCGTAACCTGCTCCAGGACGTTGTCGACGATGCCAATCACGAAATCCTGATGGTACCGGTACAAAGCACTGACAAGAATTGCCAAAAGATGAATACTACCATATTTCACCTTGACCGGTTTGCTGAACACACGTTCCAGAATCTCGACAACCTCTCGTTCCTCCCAGTGAAGTTTGCGGATGGATTTCAAGATCTTGGTGTAATTCCGCTTGTTCATATCCAGGTAGATTAGCCGGCGGATATACTGCTCCATGGGTGTACGTTCCTTCTGTTGGATTGCTGGACGTGGTGGCGGGTCAACATAATAGATGGCATTTTCGATAACCATCCGCTCCTGCTGGGCAAGATGTTGCACGGTCTTCTTGCGACTCAAGGTCTCGAGGAAAGAAGCCATCCGAGGTGACGATTCGGGGTTGCGCAGAAGGTAACGGCCGCAATTCTCCAGCAAATGGCCGATAATTTCAATGTTCATGCGCGAAAATTCGTCAAGCGAAACCTTGAAACAGTGGAAGATGATATGCTCCGGAACGACACCAAACTTGGTCAATTCAGCTAGGTAGCGAACATTGCTCATTCGTACTTGACCAAGGAATTCCTTGGACTTGCGCCGCTGCAGACTTCGGAACTCTTCATCGAGGTACGTAGTCAGTCCCTGTGGAATATCTGGCAGGTACTGTCCAAGTGTTGCCACCAAGCGAGAATACAGAGGCAAAAGATCAATGCGACCCTTGGGGATGTCTGACACAGCTTTGACTAGCCTGTTTCGTGATGCTTTCGAGTTGACCCAGCAGAAATCCAGAGCAAACTGGTCGACCTGATCTTTGGTTTGCAACTCGGGAAGCTTGGCGAGAAGGGAGTCAACCTGCGCACCCACAGTCTTGCTGGCAATGGCAGTTGACTGATCATCAGCCTCCGCAGCAGACTTGTCGTCGGAAGGCTCGGCAGAGTCAGCGGTTTCACCATCTGGCTTCTTTTTACCCGATTCCTCGCCTTCGCTCTTCTTCTTTTTGCCATCCTCGAGCAAGACCGCAGGCACCTTGCCCTTCAGATCGACCAGATTCTCATAGAAGCGTCTTTCCTCCTCGTCTTCCCAAATCCCGGCACCTTCGCCTTGGCCTCGTAGGTAATCAGTGGTCTTCACAAGGCCAATACCACCACTGGCAGAAGCATCGGTGGGTTCCTTCTCGGCTAGATCGGGCATGTCGGTTCCCAAAGCCTCGCACAACACCTGGGTATTGGCGACGAGCTTCTCCAGGACCTTTGACTGCTTCTCGAAATTGGCCTGGCGGTCCTCGAAGATCTCACCACTCTTCACGTATGCTTCAGCATTACGGCGGTTTTGCTGTGCCAGCGCTCTCTGGTCGCGAACCACGTGAGCCTTGACATCCTCAAGATACCGGTTCAAGATATTTCTAAATCGCTGCTGAGTTTTCTCTGGGATCAGGGGCAAATCGGTCTCGGCGTGGGCATCCCCATTGGTCTCCGTAGTCTGCGCGTCCGCGGCAGAAGTCGTAGTAGCGCCATCTGCCTCAACGGTTTTCCTGCTATCTTCGGCAAGCTTCGATCCGACGATATCCCAGCTGAAACTCTTCACAAACAAGACTGCAAGGGGCAGGTTCGTATGATCACGGTCATGGCCGAGCAATTCCTTCAGAACCTCCAATGGGAACGGATCAGCCTGCTTGTCCTGGTCCTTCGCACCTGCAGCGGGAGTTTTGGCTTTCAGTGGCGTATCAGACGGCTTGTTCCCAATACCAACTGCTCCTTCTTTGCCCTTCGCGCCCAGTTCCTCAGGTCGCTCGACGTCATCGAGAGTCTTCAGCACATTGACCAGCCAAAGCTCTGTAACAACGCGGAGAAGAACGCGGTGTCGAGATAGACGGTCTTTCTCTTCGCGTTCGCGGATCTCTTGGCTGAGCGCCTTGAGCTGCGCTTTATCCGGTGTGCTCAGTCCCCGGCCGAGCAGCCAGCCGATCTGTCGTGTAAATTCCCAGGGCCCGAATCGCTGGTGCAGCGCACTCACGACCTCCACTCCAGCCGCAATTTCGCCGGGGGATTTGAGTTTGCAGAGGCCTTCGTAGCAGGCGGAAATGATCTCGGAAAGGTACTTGTGGAGCGAAAGGGTGCCGATGTCAGCGAGGAAAGTGGAAAGGGCGGAGGCACTAATGCCGGTGCGTAGACGTTTGATGAAGGCGGTGTTCTTCTTGAGCGCTGAGTCAAGGGACTTGCTAGTGGAGAATACATCTGGTTGCAAAGTCGTTAGAATCGCCTCAAAGGTGGGCTGCAATGACATTTCGTCATAAAGGGAGTCAGTGAGATTTTACCAGATTCGCCTGCCCAGGCTCGCTCATTCAGGTCGCGAAGCTCCCCTGTGATAAAAAAGGCCAAATGTCAGTCAATATCTCCAAGATAAGGTGCGGTAGACGGTACTTTTACGTTGGCGTTCCATGGCTGTGTGTCACAGGCTCAATCGTGGGGTCCTTTCTGAATGTCCGAGAGGAAAGCGCATAAGTGACGTGAATGCCACATTGGGGGAAAAGAATAGATAAGAGAACAGCACAAAGCTCAAAGCTTTGAAGCGAAGAGAAGCTAGGAGAGTCGGAAGGTCCAAAGGTCCAAAGGTCCAAGGCGGAGCGGAGGTGAAGGCGGACTTTTATTTGCTTATCGATTTATCCACCCGACACTTGTGCGTGAACTCCTACTTCACTTTACTTCACTACTTCACTTACTTTCATCTACTCCGTATTGAGAATCCCTTTCTCATTTTCGTTCTTTCAATTCCAATTTCAATTTCAATTTCAATTCCAACTTCAACTTCAACCCCTTTTTGTGATTCTCAATTTAAAAGTCCATCATTCATTGTCCCCAAACCCCCCACTTCCCAAGGTCCCACCATGTGTTATATAACCCTGCATCAAAGGACGATCATCGTAGCACTAAATGCTGTTTCGAACCATTCTAATCCCCACTATGCGCCTCTGTGAACCCCATCTCTCTTCCCTTTTCCGACCCGTACAGTCGTTCTTGCAGCTGGTGCTTGCGGTCCTCGTTACTCCAGCTTTGTCGGCGATCAAAAGTCGGCTTCCACGACTTCTCCGAAGATGTGTCCTTTCGGTTGGGACCCGATGACCCAGTGGTTTCGTTTGAGAGATTAGGATTCTGAGCGAAGGGGAGAATGACGGTGTGTTCTTTGCCGGTATCCGGGATTTGGCCGTGGTTATCATTGTAGTTGTTTGATGACATTTTGAGTGATGTGGATAGATAGAGTAAGGTCGAGACTAGGACGTAAGATGATTGCCAGCTACTAGTTTGGAGCTAGCTTATGTTGATGTAGAAAAGATGTTGGGAGTCTTCAGGGTTGTGTTCACAGCTCGTCTGCTGTCCTTTTATACCTCTTCGGTGCGGGGTATTTGAAACCTGATTGTGTGGTATGGCAATAAATGAGATTGATCCTAGTGGGTTTTCCAAAGATGATACATGTGAAGAGAACCTCTCACAAGGCGTAAGGAAGTATTTTATCAGTATTTATGCGGAGGTGGTGGATATGACGTGCGGGTGGCGAAGACATCAGGTTATCTCTAGAAGTAGAACAACTGATATGGTAAAGGTACAAAGAAGCATCATCAATTCCTTCTAGCACAATGACAATATACCTAGCATTATAGAGCTTGACAAGGGTTGTGTTTGTATATGAACATGAGATATCGAGACAGCAATGGCACAAACCCTGCAGCAAGTATGTATCTGCTGCTGTATCACCTTGGATTCGGGCCAGTCAAATGATTTGTGGCTAAATGACTTCACTATTCTATACTGATTGCAATGCGGAATCCTTAATCCGATTACGCTCCTGCTAGCTAGTAAGGCACATGGCATCTAAGTACTACACCATTGCATCCCATACACTATGAAGGTAACAAAGTGCTCAAACAGATATATTGAAATTGACTAGCTAACATACAAGTCGTGAGTGCGTTCAACCATTGGAAAGCAGACTGACAAAGATGGCAAACCCAACGAGGCAAAAGCAGAAGTAGGATACATATAGTCCGTGAAGGACGCGTGACTTGAACAGTGTCAGGAGACACTGAGGAATCAAGCTGGCGAAGCGCCTCTCCAAAGAGACACCCGCAACACATGAGAGCCGGTATCAGAATAACTGATCTCTAGGGCAAACAAAACGGCCAATGATGGCCAAACATTGAAGAAACCAAAGAAAGCATGACGCGTTGGAAACCAACTTCGGGATATCCAAGGCCCGACCAAAACGATACACACGCGCTTTTTGGAGACCAATAATCGTACACGTCGATGCTATAACGAGGAAATAAGAAACAGGCAGAAACAAAACACAAACAGAAAAAACAAGGATGTTGATAATAATGAATTAAAATCAGGGTATGCCTCACGCCACGCTATGCGAGTCTCCCTAGCAGCCAGGGAAACTAAGAATCACTGGAAATATGTACTGAGAAAGTCCATCCGACGGCGGAAAGACATAGGAACTTTTTCGGTCAATGATTCATTTGGGCTTGCGCCAGAAGTATTGCTGGAAACAAGTTAGTGGGGGTTCGGGTACATCAATGGATGTATAGGGGACATGGAGGTACTAACCTTATGCTGCTTCCGACAGTTGCGCAGGCCAGGCTTCCGAAGATCATCCACTACAGCAGACCGCCGCATAACATCGTCATCCTCATCGGGAACATAGTAATATTCACTCTCGAGTGGTTTGCCGGCGGCATCCTTGCCTTCACGAGCAACTCTGCCAATAAACTTGGTCGATTCGAGAATATGGCGGATATCAGACCTAGAGAGGCCGGTGGGGTACTCGTGGCCGGACTTCCAGTATGCGGGAGGGAGATTGTTCAAGATGGTGGAGAAGGGCGTGGAGGACAGTCGGGAGAAGGCGAGTTGATTGGCAGCGTGGTTGCGGACTCTCTCGGACCGTTCGTCAGTATACTGGGGCTTGGCCTCGGTGACCTCGAATTCCCTGTCCTCGTGGACGGTGGCTGGCTGTCTAGGAGACCGGGTAGGCTGGAGAGGTTGGGCGGGCAGCAGGCTGCGAGGAGAACGAGCAGTCTGGACGGGGGAATCACCAGCCCGGAAAGAAGCCATACGAGGAAGAAGGTTCTCTCCGAATGGTCCAAAGGAGTGAATGATAGGATCATTCTCTTCGTCATTGTCGGAGAACTCTTCAGATCTATTCAGGTCACTCAACTCGCTCGCCCGCGAGGTGTGAAGCATAGCAGTAGCACGACGGGCACTCTGGGAGATCACACCAGTGACGGTGTTGTGACGCTTCAATGGAGAGGGCTCATCCTCAAACACCACTACTGCAGCACGAGAACGAGAAGGTGTGAAAATTGGCGAGGATGGGGGGATGACATGCTGAAGAGCAGGCGAAGGGGAGACAGGCGATGCCAGACGCTGGCGATCCAGGAGCGGACTTTCCTGTAGCTCTCGTCGGGATTGGCGTCGCTGAGTTGGTGTTGCTTCGTCACTGGTCTGTTCCGAGTCGGTAGAAGGGCAGTCCCTTCGTTCGCTGCGAGGCCATTGAACCAGAACACGAGCCTCATGGACATCGATCATGATATCTGCATCTTTGATATCCGATGTAAAGGTCTTGCCTTTGGCCAAGTCATATTTCCTCCCTTGGCAGTGAATCTTTATCCCATTCCATCCCATGCACACAATTTCAACCCTATCCCGATCGAATGGGTTTGGAGCCGGCTTATATGTAGCCTTGACATGAACACGAGAGATCATGCGGCTAGCAGCGAGCTGGTGATGGCATGAGACACTGGATCTGCCCATCAGAGTAGGCTCCCCATTCTCCGACAACATTATCGCGGGCACGGCAGACAAGGGCGCGCGTTCGAGGGCAGCAGAGAAGGACCGAGGGAGGGAGGGTCGGGAGGCAGCGACGCCAGGAGGAGGCGAAGAGGACATGATATGGGTCGACGAGGTCGGGACCGGGGTAGGATACGTCGAGACATCTGGTTCGCGTGCTACACGCTTTTGAGGCCGAGGAAGGGAGGGCGACGAGCTCGGCTCAAAGGCAGGCAGTAGGGCTGCAGGACGTTTCACGCCCAAGATCGAGCCAACTCGGCTCTTCAACGGAGAGGACTCCATAGTAAAAAGGTGGGACGAAGTCGAACGAGCACTCCTACTCACGAAAAGAAAAACCTGAGTCGAGGTCGAGGACCCGCGTCTCCGCGTGTTATACGAACACAGAGAAGAGCCTAGAGAATTTTAAAGACGAGAAAGACGTCAAGGCCTCCCTTAGAGAAAAAGGTGTGGTTGGAGGAAAGAAATTGGTCAAGGAGTAAGGAGGAGAAGCATTGAAGAAAAAGGTCGAAGGGTGTGTGGTGGTGGAATGCCTTGGGGCGGAGGGTCTCGTCCACCCTGCGCGGAAATGCACGCTTACAGCCCGAGACGCGTTCGATAGACGCCAACCACGCTCCACTGCAGGTTCGCGATTTCAATTGCTGCCTCTAGGTATTGTACAAATAGTAACTTGTAAATTGAGAGACAAAAACGTGAAAAGGCGCGAATTAAAGGTTTGTTTCTTCTTAATATGTGCTGTCAACTCTATACACTGCGGCGCGTCCGCGTCTCAAAGCACGTGACCACACGCGAGACAGTAAACCGGGTTAAGGTTGTGTCAGGAATGGTATTCATGACTTCATAATTGATGGTATTTAGCCTGTAGCCCCTACGATGATTTCAAACAAGTGAGTGCACCATATATTCCCTGCTAAATTGTCGGCCTATTCAAATATCAAGAGCCAATGGTGAAATTTAGGCGGTTTCTCCAAACTCGTACATAGCTAATACTCTAGTACGAAGTACGAAGTACTAGGGTATACAATTCATACAATCCATACAATTCCCAGCAGAAAATGCAAGCCCCCTAACCACCTAACCCCCCACTTACTGTCACGAAATTGATCACCGGTCACCTCGTCGCGTCTCCCAGCCATTTGCCCGACCACCTTGATATCATTTTGGTTCGAGCTTTGGTCAAATCAAAAGGCTTTCTTTCCAAGGGCATATGAACGAAATTCCAGACCAAATATGAAAAAAATTCTACAAAACGCCCTAGTTTCTGCACTGGGCCTTTTGTTGACAAGTGCTAGTGGGGCCTCGGGTAGTTTGATTTTTTGGTATGTTTTTCGGTATAGCTCACCTCACCGGTCTTCTGAAAAACTCCCTTAGCAAAGAATCTTCTTGGATAATTTACGTGTCGGAATGATTCCATATCAGCTGTGGAGTTCTGCCTCTCGCAAAACCAATCCCCTTGCCTAATATATGGGTCTAACGCATGTGGTCTAACGGACGGTTACAACATATATTAAAACGGTATACAGTAAAAATTATATTAATCGATAACGAGAGGTAATACAAAAAAATCGACGTAATTGAGCAATGACCATTTCCTACTCAAGCTCTATAGTGTATTTTTGCTCATTAGATTGAAGTTTAGGCTCCCTTCCCTCCCTGGGCTGCAGGAATACTCCGTCAATGATTGGTTTCGTATTACCTTCTTGGGCCTGCTGTATATTCTTATCGGCCATTTTATTCCAACCCACTCATTTTGACCTCGATAGTGACCACAAAACTGCTACTCGATAACCTCAAGCTAGCTTTCAACATGCCGTTTCTTTGGATTCCAGTGCCGTTCCACCTCCGATTCTACCTCTACAGGCTCTTCTCCAGAGTCTCCGACCAACCAATGAATGTTGATATATAGGTCTTTCGTTGAGGATACCCCATCGATCTCAAATATACAAATACCCCTGCCGTAACCTTTCCCCCCCCCCCCCCCTACTATTAGCTCGGCTGGTGACGCTTGTTTTGGTAGCGGGAGGCAGAGTGCTCTTCTTCTCGATATAAACGGGATATAGATCACCCCACCAGCAACTATTTTTTTTATACGCATCACCGCGGATGTCAACTAGAATCAAAGGTCGGCTGTCGGACCGCGCATATGATACACCCTCCTCTGCAGTATAACCCATATGATATTGGTGGCCGAGTGAACAACCAAGCAACTCCACCCAGCACGCAGATAGTATATAGCATGTAAAGTAAAGAACTGACAGATAATTTCCATAGCCGTAACCCGAGAGTCTCTGGACGACGGGTGACTCTAATAAAGGGGAGTCCTCACAATATCACACTTGATCGACTGCAGGCTCCTAATTTGAGTTGCTTGGGTAGCACCTTAGGCAGCAGCTCACAAATTCCTTTCGGGGTTTTCCACGACGCGCAATTCAAAAGAAGCTTGTTCCTCCGCTGCGTTGGCTCCGATGCGTCGCAAACAAATCAATATATCTCATCAGAAGTAATGCCATCATCGAGAAAAGGCGGTGTCTAGCTGACGAGAGGTCCCAGGTCTATGGCTGCCGGGGGAGTGGGTGACCTTCGCTCGCGGTATTCAAAGAGGAAGACCGTGTCTTGAGATTGTCTCGAGGATCTTGCTAAATAAATGTATTGTTACTTGGGTGCAGCGCATCACCCATCGTCAAGCACACAGATGACGAGGCAGGTGCAGATTCCCTGTCAAGGTTTTGGGTTTGTTTGAAACTCGAGAGAAAGGTGTGAGTAGGAAAAGACGAGTCATTGACGCCTGATATCTCCCGGTCGCAAATCAGAAGAAAGGGGTTTAAGCGGTCGGGCGCAGCGTGTGTTGTAGGTTACCGTCTGTGTGGCGCGGAGTGAGGCTTGTTTGCATGAACGACAACGATTCCACGCATGTCGTCAGATGAGTAGGTTTTCAGACCCAATAATGTATATTGATGTTCCCACAAAGTATCAAGTTGGGACTTCTCCCTCAGCAGCTGCTGTGCGGTACTGTATATCTACAAAAAAAAAGGCCTCGAACCTTAGTTGTCACGATTTATTAGGGCTTTGCTCCTATATATATCGGCACGTGATTAGCAGGAATCACAAAGTTTCATTTAACTTAGGCAAGTTCCTTTCAAGCAGGTTGCGATGTACATGACTAAGTGGACTGTTTCGGTTGCCAATAAACACAGAAGCAATGACGCAACCATGCATGCTATAGCTACCGGGTGGGGTCATGCATCTAGCGTTTCATCATGTACGGGACGTGTCACATACTCCAAGCGCTTGCCGCCACACTACGGAGTAATAATTAGCTGGTCCCTCACATTGTGTGGAACTGTAGGTAGCTCAAATACAACGGCAGGTTATGCAACGTGTGCCTTAACAGAGGAGCCCTGCATTGACTGCCGCTGGAATAGGTAGCTAGCTTTGGTGCCTACTTTATCATGGGAGAGAAAAGATGAAAGAAAGTTGCGGAATATCATTCGAAGGATACCTAGGTAAAGAAGATAGCTGACTTAAGACAATGCATATCTGCTGGACTAGATCACTCAAGAGCGGCCAGCCGATGACCGACTGTTACAGAACCAGCTGTGTGCCAGGATCCCCCCTGTTGAATCAACCCATAGACTCGAACTTTTCACTTCGAGCGAGGCACAGGATGAAACAAGTCACCAAGAGTCCAAAGAAAAACATCGGGTAGAGAGATCCAACCTCCAGTCACCAGGACAAAGATGCAAGGGAAGGGAACGAGGGATAGATTTGAAATCAAGAACTGATTGGTACTTGAAGATAAAGAAGGTAAATCTAACCGTCAAATAAAAAAAGATGTCGCTCCCATCAACGTGCCTGACCAGGGGGTAAATGTGGTCATAAGAAATAAAACAAAAAAGATGCAACGAGGATTGGATTTCGGGCCCAGTCACACATAAAACAAAATAGAACTTAAGATACACAGAAAAGAATAATGATCCTTCGAATAAGAAACCGTGAATATAGACAAATACACATAGGGAAGTGAGATGAGAGCGGTAGCTCTGCTCGCCCTAGTGCATGGGAAGCTCATCGAATTTCGCTTGGCAGTGTAAGGACTACCGCCGACCAAAAAGCGGTTGCGATATTTAGTCGTAGAAGACGTAGTAGGCCTTGCCGGAGGTGACACCGACCTGGTGAGAGATATTGTTAGTACAAGAATTTGCAAACTGGGTGGCTTGGGATGAAAAACTTACTGTGCAGCCGCTGTTGTCGCTGATGGGACCTTTGGAGTCGTAGAACTTGCCACCCTCGTAACGGCACTCATCGCTGAGGTTGTCACCCTCGAGCTTAACGTTGAAGTCGAGAGGCTTGGTGGTGGTCGGGGTGTTGGGGAAGATGGACAGGAACTTTCCGGACTTGGTGTAACCGACACCAAGGTTAATGGGAGCCCAGTTACCAATGGGCTCGCTGCCGTCACCCCACTGGCAACCCTTCTCAGTGGACACACCCTTGGGGTTAACGTAGTACTGGGCGGAGGTGACCTTGCCCCCCCACATGAAGTAGTCGTCACCATCGGGGCAAGTCAGGTCGTGAATAGCACCGGGGGAGGCGGCGAGAGGAACGGTCTCAGCCTCGGTACCGGGGTAATCAGTACGGCAAACGGCAACATGGTCGGACATCTTGTTCTTGACGTGAACGCCGCCAACACCGGGAATACAAAGCTGCTTGTGGTTCTTGTTGGTGAGGTAGAGCTTGTTGTCAGTCTTACATTCGAGACCACCAACGGACTCGCCTTTGCTACCCTGGGTTTCAGGCCACTGGGACTTTTGGTATCCAGGTGGGCAAGCGTAGGAGCACATGGCACCGTGGTGGCACTCATCACCAGTAACGGCGGTCACAATGTTGCTAATCAGGTCATCGAGGACGGTGACGTACTGGATACCGGAGTAACCACCAAAACCAAGGTAGTCAAGGGCGATAGCACCGTAATCCGAAGGGAAGTGACCACAATCAATCTCTCCATCGGGGAAGTCGGCCGTGAGACCGGTGGCACCGGAGCTGCCCGAGCTGGAAGACTTGCTGGTAGCAGCAGCGGCTGTGGTGGAGCTAGAGGTGGGCTCGGCTGTGCTTGTCGAGCTGGCGGGGGTAATAACAGCCGAGGTCTCCTGGAGGATGGCAGGTGCAACGGTAGCGGTTGTTGTTGGGACGGACGTGGAAGTCGACGTGGGTGCGGCAGTGCTCGAGCTGCTAGACGGGCAAGCAGCAGCAACGGCAGCGTCCAGCCACTCAAACTCATGGTTGGCGAGGCCCTCGCAGGCTTCCTTGATGCTGATCGACTGAGGGCCGCCGGGCTTAGACGGGTCCATTACGACGAAATCATACACAACTGAGCCGGGGACCGAAACCGTCTCGATCTCAGTAGCGCGCTTGTGGGCATGAGCGTGGCCATGGCCGTGAGCGGTCGCGAGGCCAGTCGTCGCTAGCGCGGCAACGGTGTTCTGGAACTTCATCGTAGTGGTGCGAAACTGTTGATTACCATGTGTTAGTTGCGTCAAATCCATGTATAGTTCTTCTCGTCCAATGTTTCTCCATCGTGTAAAGCAGCTTGGACGCGATTGAGTCTTTGCAAACATATATCGCGTTTGTTGCGGTGCACAATCATCTGTATAGTTCCCCGACACACAACAATCCACACCACACCACGTCGCGACTTGCTATTTCAATATGTAGAGATAAACGGGAGATAGCACATACATTCAAGGGTAGTCGCGCGATTGTCGTAGAGAGTCGAGTAAAGGACAGCGGTTTTCAAATGAATGTAGAGAGAACGAATCCCTCTGGTGTGGGAAAACTTCAAAAAAGGAGAGCTGTTGGAAAGACTGGGGAAGGAGAAGTCAGGGAGAGGAGACAAAAAGGAGGGGGGGCGATTCGGTTTATGCCCCAATAGCGTTAGCGTGATAGTCACGGAAAAAGGGGCAGGTACGGAGTACGGGATACAGCTTCGAGATACAAGCTGTCTTACACTGCCTACCTTGGTAGTGGACCCTGGGCAGAGCCTGGATGCTACTTGCTTGCTTGGCATGTACAATATAATCTTTCCTAGAGTTCAAACTATGTACTTTGTACATGGAGTCTCTCTCTCTTTCTTTACCTCACCTTGGCAGTTCTATAACGGCGTGATTCATGGGCGAGGCAGTTCCCTTTTTCTGTTTACTTTTGGTCCCTGCGGCTTGGCGTCAAAACGAGATTAAAACTGCCAGGGGGAGCCAATCAGAGGCAAGGATTGCACTTCTTTGGGCTCCAGAATCCAGGTACACCAATCAGCACTCACTTGGCCTGCCGAAATTCCTTGCGTATCCATGGGTACCAGAAGCATTTTTGATTATTTATATTATCAATTCCAAGTTATTATTATGCCTGCTTTGTTCAATTCCTACTTGAATCCTCCATACAGCAATTTATTAAAGCGCACTATTGAAGTTACTTCCCCCCTTATAATGTTACAATTCATATAACCTTACGTTGTTAACTGACTGCTGTTGCGGGCCCATAACAATCCCGCCAGGGGTCATAATTGTACTTTGTAGGGAGACGCTTAAGTATAAGACTTTTACCCCCTGACAGCCTGGCCTGATAACTTGACCGATCTACTTCCGTACCTGCCCAGCCTTTCCAAGACTTGCAGTGCGGTGTACAACATACAACATACGTAGCCAGCAAGGGATTTCCCCTGACAGGGCTAGCGCTCAGTCCCTAGTCCGGTTCGTATTCCATTTTAACTGGACTCAAATTCTAGCCTACCAATACCAAGTTCAACAATATCCCGGATCTGACCTGCCCATGGCGTCGCAAATAAAATTAAATATCAGCCCGAAGTAAGTACTATATAACATATAAATCCCCCCATATAGCTAGGAGGTACGGAGTACTCGGTACGGGGTACCTACATCGTAGGGTAGACTTTGAGCCATAATCACACCCGCAGTGATGACGACTCCGCGCTTTAAATTTCTAATTCACGCACTTCTCCATAATCTCCATACTCCTCTCTAGCAGCCGAGGGTTGCTCCGCCCATCCACATTTTCGATAATCGGCCAGCCAGTGGAACAATCATAGGCGAGCTAGAAGCCGACGGACTTGTCGATCCACAGCAATCTTAATCCTACTGTTTGGACCGCACGGCCTTGTCCGCGTCATGGCACGCTCATAGCAGACCTCTAGAATTACACTAAAATTACGGAGTACATTAAATGTAATATTGTATCAATAACTACGCGGAAAAATGAAACATCCGACAGTATCGCCCACGTTCTTCTCTTTCTCCATAAAATAACGAAATTCGGCCCAAGCGGGTGGATATCTGATTAAGACATACTTTTGTCTTGACGTGCAATGCTGCTCAAACCACAGTTGCTACGTGTATATTCAGGCAAACAATCAAAGCCAACTCCCAGGCATTAATCCTGCCTTTTCGGGTACGAGTATTCAGCTCCACAATCCTCCAATCATTCCGATTCTTTCAAGTTTGTTTTAGCTGGTGCCTGCTGCAACGATTGTTACACCTGTCGACCCGACTCCTTATCTCTGCTTAGTGCTTTAAAGAAGATTCAGGTATCGCTTAGAAACACTTACGTTATATAGCATGGGGAGGTGTTTACGCGGGTGGATAATAGTATAACTATTTCGATATATATCATGCTCTGTTCTGCGTAACGTTCATTCATTTTATATATTAAAACTGGAGACATTACACAGTTCGGCTTCTCGGGGACCACCGTTCGTATCATGTGAATTAATTTAATTTTTGGCATGGGTTCAATGTTCCGTTTCCGATTTCATTGCGGCTTATGGAGTACTTGCAAAATACAAATGTGCGCACCTGCGATAGATAGACTATCAAGGGTACCTAGTATTGTATTCGGTCTTAGTTGTGTGGGTTGTCAAAATATGTGTTGTACAACATATAGTTGGTTAATGTATAGTTAGCATCCAAGTACCAACCTCGGTAACCTGGCATCCCACGGTCAATCTGAAGCTTGGTCTTACAATATATAATATATTGTGGATGTGGATTTTCGCTATAGTGTCTTGCGACGTGCGGCATGCAATTTCCCACGCTCAGTCACCTCGACATCGCTAAAATGAAATTCAAAATATCTGACTAGTTTAAACGCGGCATTTCCTATGAAAATGGGTTGAGATACCTATCAACATATATTACAATAACGGTTTGATCTACACAGAGATCCAACCCAGGTATCTATAAATAGTTTCCCAAGCCGCGATGGACTTGGCACTCTACAAGGTGGCGATCAATTTTCGCGATATGCTTTTTTCTGGAGAAGCGAGGGAGTATTTCATGGTGCATATGTATTTTTAGATAATCCGAAACAGCCTAAAACTGTGGTGATTCTCGAGCTTATTTCAGCCGCATAGTTTCCCCTAACGCATCTGGTTACTTGAAAGCACGTTCATCAGCCACTTCAGAGTTACTTCGTACCCTTGCATACAATAAAAGCTACTACCAATAGGGATCCAACCTGTCATTCATATTCAGAGACACAGTGCACAAGATGACCACTGTATACATGTAAGCTACGGCTGGAGATCCTCCTTATCACCTTCTCTAGATCTTGACTGTACCTATATGATGTATAAGTCGCGCCGTTTTTCACATGTTGTTACCACTCCCTTGTAATTAGTCCCATGGATGATCCAACCCGCCCTCTGTATGGAGTACTGGTATAATTGTAGTAAGATTGGACTGAAAATCACGCTTGAGTTCTCAGAGTACTTTGGTTGGTGTGGTAGATGTTGCAGACTGATATGTCATACGTACCTTTATCGTTCACACCAAAGTGTAATGGATAATGAGCTCGAGTCGGCGGATAGTACATCGGCGGACTCCAGCTCATTTTTGCTTTAGGCGTAGAATACATATCTTGCCCATGGTCACGGTATCGTTCCACCGCGATGTTGCCTTTTTTTTGGTTTCCCTTAGACATGAAGTTTTCTTACGAGCCCTGTAACCTGTAAGCCTCTAGGATATACTATTACGATTTTGATATGAGATATCCATACACACCGCACACGCCAACAAGATCAATCTGTCCTCGATCGATATGCCGATCGGGATTCGCACTTGGGAGGTACAACATGGGTACAAAGCCGTTTATCTAGCATCATACTTAGCCTGACACATCTCGATTCAACTTAGTGATAAAACACGTTAGATAGATTTTGCTAGGCTTAATTTTTGAGCCCATCAAAATCCGATGCAAATAGCCCTGCTTGATAACGGTGCGATAAAGGCCTCAGGCACCAACTGGGGTCTGGACTGCCAAGCACGGATGAACTGCCACCGCCTTCCGAATTTTTTTGAGTCCCGATATGATTGCAAAAAAATTGGAGATGTTCATCGAGTGTACAACTTACTAAAATGGGCTCCTCTACTACTCAACTCACCTCGAAGGTGACCTCGGGCTCCCCTTACCAGCTTGACCAGCCCCAGGTCAGTACCAATGACTCCCCAGATCCGATTTCGCAAAGTACTTATCTTACTTCCATTAGGCCCTCAAAGCTTCCACCGCGCTGTTGAAGCACATCAAGTCTACCCAGCAGGAACAGGAGAAGACCAACACCAAGAAGACTCTGATTGGCGACGATGACTCCGATGACGAGGAAAGCGCCACCAAGAACGAAGCCATCTGGCTCGTTCTCACCACCAAGCAGCATGTGGTGGACAAGAACCGCCTGAAGCCCGGCAAAATTAGCATCCCTCACTCTCTCAACACATCTCCCTCTCTCAGTATCTGTTTGATCACTGCCGACCCCCAGCGTGGCGTCAAAGATATCATTGCCGACCCATCCTTCCCCCAGGGCCTTTCCTCCCGCATTGAGAAGGTCATTGGCTTCTCTAAACTTAAGGCCCGCTACCAGAGCTTCGAGAGCCGTCGCCAATTGTTCGCCGAGCACGATGTCTTCCTGGCTGATGACCGTGTCGCCATGCGCCTGGTGCAGACCCTCGGAAAGATCTTCTACAAGTCTAGCAAGCGCCCAATTCCCATCCGTATCGCCGAGATTGAGAAGGTGGATGGCAAGCGGGTCAAGAAGGACACCAAGACGGTCAACTCTTCCTCCAAGGAAGAGAAGAACGCCTCTTTCGCCTCTCCTCTTATTGTCGCCAAGGAGATCGAGCGTACCCTGAACTGCGCCGCCGTGCAGCTCGCACCATCCACCACCGCTGCCGTCCGGGTCGGTTCGTCCAAGTTCACAGCCGAGCAGCTGTCTGAGAATATTGCCGCTGTTGTCAACGGTCTGACTGATAAGTTCGTCGCAAAGGGCTGGAGAAACATCAAGGCTCTTCACATCAAGGGTGCCAACACCATGGCCCTGCCTATTTGGCTCGCTGATGAGTTGTGGGTGGAGGATGCCAACGTGCTGGAAGCTGCCCCTGAGACCGAAGCTATCAAGGACTCCAAGAAGCGCAAGTCCGCTGGAGACAGCAAGCTGCTCGAGGAGAAGAAGACCAAGAAGACCAAGTCCGCAGAGGATGAGGAGGAGGCTGCATCCGTGGCCGCGCGGAAAGAGAAGCTCCAGCAGCTCAAGGCTCAGGCTCTTGAGGATGGTGACACAAGCAAGCCCGTCGCAACGAAGATTGGCGGCAAGAAGAAGAAGAAGGCGACTTCATGATGGTTATAGCTCTTAATGTTTTCTGCATGTAAAGGTATTTCTGGCGTACAAAATATCACGTGTCTATTGTTCCGACAATTTATATTGTGCCAGTAATTGAAATCAATCTAACGGTAGACAAACTAAAGCATCGAGATATAACATAATTGAGTAATAGAATAAGTCTTTTCCATCGCCGTCGCATGCGTCATTTCGAAGATTGATCAGGCTATATGATCGCCGCATTAACCGAGTCCGACCTCGGGAGCCAGTCTTGGCATCCCGACGATAGCCACCCAAAGTCACATCACCGTGAATCGCCGAGCTTTAATCTTGCTCTTCTCCCCACGCCTGGAAGAACAACGCCAAATCATTCCACCAAGTTGTCATTATGATCCCGATCGCTAGGCACTCTGTCCTGCGGGCTGCCCGCTCTCAGCTCCAACCCACCCGGAAGTTGAGCCAGCCCGCTTCTTCGGCGCTCGCCCGCCTTCTCTCGACTCTCGCGGTTCTCGAGCAGCGCAATGGCAAGCTGGAATCTTCGTCTTTGTCCGCGATTGCGGCTGCACAGAAGCTCGGTGGCTCAGTAACGGGGTTCATTGCTGGCTCCGGTGTCAAGGGCACCGCCGCTGCCGAGGCTGCTAAGATCAAGGGTGTTGAGAGGGTGTTGGCCGTGGATAATGACGCATACGAGAAGGTATATACCCCAGAATCCTCCGAAATCAATTTCTGTAGAAGGAGCTTTAACTAACAATTGGGTTTCTTCCACGATAGGGCCTCTCCGAAAACTATGCCCCTCTTCTCGTCGAAAACATTAAGAAGGGCGAATTCACCCACGTCGTTGCAGGCCACTCTGCCTTCGGAAAGAGCCTGCTACCCCGCGTGGCTGCTCTCTTGGATGTGCAGCAAATCTCGGACATTACCGCCATCGAGAGCGAGGACAGTATGTGAAAAGCCGAGAAAGAAGTTTGACATGTGATCCGGCCACTGACCATAATGCAGCTTTCGTCCGCCCCATTTACGCCGGTAACGCGATTCTGACCGTCCAGTCAACCGACAACATCAAGGTGATCACAGTGCGAGGCACCGCCTTCCAGGACGTTGAGACCGAGGGCGGCTCTGCCGAGGTCGTCGACGGAGCGGACCCCAACGCTCCCGCACTGACCGAGTGGGTGTCCGAGGAATTGGCTAAATCCGAGCGCCCGGAACTCGCCACAGCCACCCGTGTTGTGTCTGGAGGCCGTGGCTTGAAGTCGAAGGAGGAGTTCGACCGCATCATGCTTCCGCTGGCGGATTCCCTCGGCGCTGCTATTGGTGCTTCGCGTGCCGCTGTTGACAGTGGCTTCGCCGATAACAGTCTGCAGGTTGGCCAGACTGGTAAGAACGTTGCTCCTCAGCTTTACCTCTGTGCCGGTATCTCCGGTGCTATCCAGCACTTGGCTGGTATGAAGGACAGCAAGGTGATTGCTGCCATCAACAAGGATCCAGAGGCTCCCATCTTCCAGATTGCTGATGTTGGCCTCGTCGGTGACCTGTTTGACAAGGTGCCCGAGCTGACCGAGAAGATCAAGAACGCCTAAATTGGTTGCACGAATAGTTTCTCTTTTGTATCATGACCTATCGAGCAGGTTGATACCATTTTGTCTGTTAAATGAACCGTACAGTATACCATTGACTAGAGGACTAGAACCAATATTGGTTTGGTCTACAATACCAAATGTCCATCACTTTTTTTATCTGATTTTAATATCCTTGGAAATAATCCAATGCTTAAACTTCATAAATACTGTACTTTCAAAAGAATCTAGTCTACAAATAAAACTCTTCTTGAGTACATTCGTAGACACATCTTTGAAGAAGAACCTGTAAAAAGGACTATGCGGCCAAAACGGGACTAGCGCGTTCTGCACGCGTCGCGCGTCTATCAGAGGGGACTTACATCGGAGACAATTCAATGACATGAGATGTCTGAACGCTTGAATGCTTCCTTCCTCACCATCATTCCTATCTTCGTTTGACCCCGCCCTTCACCTCCACTCCGAAGGTCCTGGCAACACAAACCCACCGTCCGAATCGTTCGACGACGATCTCGAGGCAATCCATTTGCACCGCCGCGAACAAACCCGCAACCGAGTCGTGATTCAACATCGAGCGTGGGATCTGTCTGATGTGTTTCGCAGCGAAGACGACATACGATCTGGTCCGCGATCTCAAGCCCACATTGCCTGGAGTAGTGGCACTGACAACCATATAGTAGATACGCCGACGAAGAACGTTACGACCCCGAGAGCATTTTCTCCCACTCCTGCTCGAAACCTCTCTTTCATGCCATCCTCGCCGCCCGTTTCGAGAATGCCGTTTATAGCGTCTCCGGGCGCGCTTGCCCCCACATCTGGCAATGCGACCAACGATTCGCAGAAGAGGAAAGTCACAAATGCGGAGGGAGGCGCGCAGCCGACGGAGCCGAAGCGCCAGCGCATGGTTGGAGGCTTCGTTGATGATGATGACGATGATGACGAAGACGACCTGGCTGCTTTCCGGGACGAGCAGCTGAAGAATCAATATGACCTGCCCGGGCACTTCTTCCAGGAGCCTCCGGCGGCACTCCCTAGTATACTGGCACCGCCGCCGGCATCTACGAAATTGAACGGGACGACCAATGCTACACCTAGCTCCTCTAGAACACTATTACAACTGACACCTCGGCCCGCTCCAACGGCTCCCAAGAGGTTCCAGATCAAGACTTGTGCAGGCAAGACCCATAATGTCCCGCAAAGGAAGGCCCAGGCCCCCGTTTCCTATAAACAAATGATCGCCAATCGGTCCGAGACAGAACCTGGAAAGGCGACGAAGAGCTATTACGGTATCGACATCCACAAATTGCTGGATGATGCCGCCAAGGACAAAAAGCCCGCGAGCACAGTCCCTCAACCCCAAGTCCAGCAAACGATCGAAACGAACAACGTGAGCTCAAAGCAGAAGAAGATAGACTCTGCAATGTGGACAGAGAAATACCGTGCTCGTAAATTCACCGATCTCATTGGCGATGAACGCACCCATCGATCAGTTCTACGCTGGCTCAAGGGGTGGGAGTCAATTGTATTCCCTGGTCTAGCCAAGTCTCGACCGAAGAAGCCTGCCCAGGAGGATGAAGAAGAGTACATCCATCGAAAGGTACTCTTATTGAGTGGCCCTCCCGGACTTGGAAAGACGACATTAGCGCATGTATGTGCTAAACAGGCTGGCTTCGAAGTGCTTGAGATCAATGCAAGTGATGACCGCAGCAGGGATGTGGTCAAAGGCCGCATTCGTGATGCGCTGGGAACCGAGAATGTCAAAGGTATGAATGTGGAGGTTGGTGATAAAAAGGTCCGCCGTGCCGGTAAACCCGTATGTGTCGTGGTGGACGAAGTCGACGGTGTCACTGGTGGTTCTGGAAGTGGTGGTGAGGGCGGTTTCATGAAGGCCCTCATTGACCTTGTTTTGCTCGACCAACGGAACGCGAAATGGTCCTCCGAGGGCAATAATGGCAAGAAGCGCAAGGGTGACAACTTCCGATTCATGCGGCCGTTAATTTTGGTCTGCAATGACCTCTATCACAGCAGTCTCCGACCTCTCAGGGCATCATCCATTGCAGAGATGATCAATGTCCGCCAAGCACCATTGGAGAATGTTGTTCAACGAGTCAAGGTTATATTCGGCCGCGAAGGCATCCCCTGCGACAGTGATGGGGCTCGAAGGCTCTGTGAAGCAGCCTGGGGTATGGCGACCAGAAAAAAAGCGCAGTGGCAAAACTCAAGGGTCCGCCGAGGGCGATATTCGTAGCGTGCTTGTTGCCGCAGAATTTGTGGCGCACAAGCTTCGAAACGAGTCGTTGCCATCCTCGCTCAGACTGACAAGGAACTGGCTGGAGACTCGAGTCCTCAATGCATCGGCCGAGGGTAGCGCGTTCTTCAAAGAGTTAAGTCGTGGGGGTGTTCGTGAAATTGTGAACCGCGTGTTCACAGAAGGAGCTGGCTTCTCAGATGCTCCTGTTGGCATGAGTTTCCAAGATCGCTTTGATACCACCAACAGCCGTGTTCCTGTCGGCGTGGCGGATCTGCGCAAGCGACACGCAATCAACCGATTGCGGGAAATGGTTGATTCCAGCGGTGATCATGACCGCTGTGTATCTGACTGTTTCGCTTCATATCCCATCCAGCAATACCAGGATGATAATTATTTCTCCAAACCCAATGCCGCCCACGACTGGCTTCATTTCCATGACTCAATCAGTTCGAAAGTCCATTCCTCCCAAGAGTGGGAACTGATTCCATACCTCAGCCAGTCGGTTGTCGCATTCCATCATCTATTTGCTACAGCTATGGGCAGAACCACCGATGATGACAAGAACGATGATGACGAGGAAGCCGAAGAGCCCCACCCTTTCTCAGGACCCAAAGCCGACTTTGCTGCCTTCGAAGCACAAAAGCAGAACCGCGCGGCCATGACTGCATTCCACGCCTCCTTTTCGGCACCTATGGCTCGCATTTTCCGGTCGAATGAAAGTATAATCACAGATCTAGTCCCTTACTTGATCCGCATGCTATCACCAGATGTCAAGCCGGTCATCATCCGTGGAAACGGAGAGCAGAGAAGCACCGCCACCGTTCGTAAAGAGTCTGAACGTGCGCTTGTCCAGTCTACCGTGCGTGTTATGACCGGGATGGGCGTGACTTTTGAAAGAGTCCGAGTGGAACATGAAGGAAACCACGGTGGATGGGCGTATAGAATGGAACCGTGAGTGGGAATCCAAATTTTCCGTGAGGCATACAAAGCTAATATACCCTCAAACAGACCAATTGATTCGCTTGTGGTCTTCTCGAAGATCAAAGGTAGCACCATCGAGGCTTCTGGCGGTACAGCGCCGGTGCGGTATGCCGTCCGCCAGGTGCTAGACCAAGAGTATCGCAAGGCAACGACGCGCAAACAGTCTGATGCCATGAGCGCATCTAGACTCGGCGCCAAGGGCCCCAGATATACCGACGAGACGGCCGCAGCCAAAGCAATCAGGGAAGCGGCTGTCAAACGCGATTTCTTTGGTCGGCTGGTTGAGCAACCTGCGCCACAGCCTAATGATCCAAACAGCGTAGATGGCTTTGTTGATGAGTCGTCTAAGGCTGGACGGAAAGTCTGGGTTACTTTCCACGAAGGCTTCTCGAATGCGGTCCGGAAACCGATATCTATGGGAGAGTTGATGGCTGGGTTGTAATATATGCATTGAGTTCCAAGTTGCCTCCTTTGAGCGTTTGTCATGGTGTGCTGGAGTTTTCGCTTTTCATACATTTGTTGCATACCTTTCCATAATGATCACTGCTTTCTACGAACTATTGAATACCAGACACTCCTACATTACTTGATCAATATTGAAAAGGGAGATGAGAAATTCATTTAAGTAAAAATCAAATTTTTAAAAAGAACTTAAAACATAAAGACATATTCCTCTATTTCTCTAAGACATATTTGAACACCAACAAGTAAACCAGCCAAACAGCCCACATTATGACCGTTGAAAATCGCCACAAAGACAAACGCAAGACATAAAAGCAAATCACAAATTATTAAACACAGTATGTGGTATCCAAATCATTCCATCGTTGAAGCGAAAGCGAAAGGGCGAAGACATGCACCCAGAAATCGACGCAGTAGCGCATAGCATCGAAAAAAAAATTCAATCAAGCAGAAAAACAGACAAGAAAAGAAAAGAGCGCCGAAGCATCTAATCCCGGTATAGCGAGTCGATCGAGTGGATGTAATGGCAATCGACACAGAAGTAGATGCATCCATCCATTGTTTCGAAACCACTTAGCGCAGGCTGAAGTAGCTAGCAAGAGCCTCGTTGTGCAGCTTCTTCTGCTGAATGTCTGTGGCAGTATTCTTGGAATCGGAGCTCAAGGACTTCGAGCCGAGCGAGTACCACTTGTGGTTCTTGATTGACCCGTCGGGTGTATTGAGGGTTGTCGCTGTGGAGACGGTGGAGTGGGTTGAGGCTGCGCTCGATGTGGTCTTTGAAGACGCGTTGGAGGAGTTGCTGAACATCTTGTGTGGTATTTGAAGCTTTGAGCGTGTGGTTTGGGAGATTTTGGAGGGTCGCTTGAGGATTTTGGAGTGTTCGTTGATACTGGAGGTATAGATGTGAACGAAAAGTAGACGAAGTATGAGTTGTTTTGGCGGTTATAGTTCGGAAGTAAGGTGTAAGAAAGATGTCACTTTAGATCTTGGGATCTGATGCTTTGCAATGGATTGGATTGGAATGTTTCTTTCTACGGGGTTATCATGGGGTCTTTATATAGAGATGTTGGGTGATCACCACACATAGAATTTACTCCGTACTAGGCTGGCACTCCGAGAGACAGAAAATCTCAAAACGCTAACGCCAATGCCCCACCGCCTCAGTCATAGTATACATTGAGTCTAGAAGCTTTGCACTGTAAAACTCACACGGGACAGCCCAAGAACGACGTCAGTAGTCACAGCCGCCTTACGTGTGGGGCCGCTAACTGTCGGAGTAAGGATCGGAGTTGAAGTTTTACTGGCGAGGGGACCACACGAGGTTAGAGGCTGTGGAAAACCAAAAATATCGGCTAAGTTTCTTAGAATTATCCAATGGAATGTGTGCACGTCGAAAGTCAATGAAATACGAACTGTACAAACTGCTTACTCTATGGCATATGTATCCATCCTCTAACCTAAATTATGACACCGACCAGTGCGGGTTCCTGATTCGGTAATTTATTTGCACGCCCTTTGATATGAAACTCGTAAAGACTTCCACGTTCAGAAATATCTTGCGAAAGGGCGCAGTTAATTCTTAGTTGTGTGGCTTTGCATTTTACTATGCACGTGTTAGACCGAGCCTTTTGAGGCTGACACTAATGCAGCTACAGATGTCTTTCATTTTCGGAGTTGAGGTCTGGATCTTGTCCGAAGGATTTTCAATGAATTCTAGATGGCGATCTGGGCCCACAGGGCTACATATTTTTTTAGCTATACACTACACAGAGTGTACTCCGTAATGTGCAAGGATAGTCTTCCGTGTCGGTTAACAACGGCCTGCTTTGGAGCTACTGGTATTAATGGTGAAACATTTTTGTTCTAAAAATTGAATGGGTAATTAAATCTCGAGGATGATCTGATATCGCGCTTGATTTCCAAGCACTCTAAACGTCCAATGTTTGGATGCTCAGCGCATTACGATTTACGAAGTGGCTTATGATGACTCAAAGAGCGGGGTTGTTGGCGACTTCACAACAAAGATTAAAAGCATGAGGCCTTTGAAAATTTGAAATCAAAGCACAAAGGATAAAATGAGATGATTCGGAAAGGTTCTGACCGATAGGCAGCCTTTAGTCTAAGAAGTTAGTACGATATAGTAGGACAGGGATGTGCTGGTTTTAGGGTAGTCCGATGTTAGTCCGAAATGTAGATTTTTACTCCGATCGTATATTTTCAAATTCCCGATGACGCTAATTGATTTTCAATCTACAATCACAAGTGAAATGCTATTTTAGATTCGAAATACTACATACGTACTTATGTGCTCGGATAGATATCTACCTAGGTAATTCTGCAAGGCCATGCAACCATCGGACAAAAGTACATTTGGTGCAGGGGTGTTGGTCCGATAGTGTCGGTCCTGTCCGATCGATGAGGCTTGTTAACCTTGTTTTTACTCCGCTACATTCTTGACTTTTCAAATGACTCGATTAAAGCCAGGAATCATTGATTATCTCCATGATCTTCGTTGTCTCTTTTGATATTCTAACTAACACGCCCTGCGGTCTTGGCAGCAGTACATATCCACAGGTTTCCCACTATTACGAGCATGGTGCAATCGACTCGATTTCGAGGCTCCCGGGCAAGGTTGCAGAGTCATCATTGAGTGATGCGTCAGCTTTTCTTCCAAATGACAGAAAGAGTCAATCGTTATGTTTTCGCTATAATCCAACATCTGATTTCAGACAGTTGCGATGAAGGAGCCCATCTTGGAATACTTGAATGTTCTGAGTCATGAGGCAGAAAACTCTCAACTATGTTGATGTGCTTCTTCTCCGAACTGTTTTAGGGTCTCTTATTGCTATCAGCTTTGACATGGCCATTCAACCTTCCAAGGCTCCAAGGCTCCAAGGTTAGAAGATCAACAGTTTAGTAATCATTTCATAAGGGCCCGGGGCCATGGCAGACACACCCGGCAGTTCGGCTTGGCAGCGACCCCAGTCTTTGTCGGTAAACACGAAGCATTGCAACTGCTTAGCAATAACGTGGAGCAATCCAATTCCGCGCTCTGGAAGTTTCCGCAGGGTCCATTTGTCAGCTTCAGGTTCCACAGTATGTGGGAAACTCCTTGCTTAGGAGCTTGAAGGTTCAGGATGAATAACCGACAAGAATTGTGGGGTTCTGAGGGGTTGGAAGCTTGATTTAAAAGAGCTCCAGTCCTGATTTGGTATGCCCCTTTCACCCAGTCTTTTTTCTTTCCCACCTTCGATCCAAAACAACCACCTCACCAAAACAATGTCTCTCAAGCCTATCACCGTCTATGGCCATGGCCCAGGCCCCAATCCATGGAAGGTGATCATGATCCTGGAAGAGCTGAATATCCCCTATATCCACAAGATCATCGACTTCCCAGACATGAAGAAAGAGCCATACGAGTCCATCAACCCCAACGGCCGCGTCCCCGCAATCCAAGACCCCAACACCGATACCCTCCTCTGGGAATCCGGCGCGATTGTCGAATACCTGGTTGACACATACGACAAGCAAAACACCATCAGCTTTGCCGCCGGCTCCAAGGACTACTACCTCGCCAAGCAATGGCTCCACTTCCAGGTCTCTGGTCAAGGCCCATACTTCGGCCAGGCTGTTTGGTTCAGCCGCTACCACCCAGAGAAGGTGCAAAGCGCAATCGACCGCTACATCAACGAAATCCGCCGCGTTTCTGGCGTGCTCAGCCGCGCCCTTCAGGGAAAGCAGTATCTCGTCGGTGACAAGTTCTCATATGCCGACGCTGCTTTCGTTCCTTGGTATCTGGTTACTGGCATGTTTGCGATTGATCTGGAGAAGGAGTTCCCCACTGTCCATGCTTGGTTGAAGCTGGTGCAGGAACGTCCTGCTATTGCTAAGTCGGTTCAGGATCGGGCTGAGGCTTCTGCGCAGCATTAGACGGATTTCATATGAGAATCTTTAGTAGTGGATAGAAAATAATGAAACGAAAAACTATTATGCCTTTATTTGGATTTTTCTGACTGATAGGTCCCGCATGCTCTAATTATACCAAAAAAAAAAACAAAAAACAGGTCCACAGGGTTGGATGTGGTGGCGACAGAACTTGTCATGATTCCCAGAGGATACTAAAACTGGTTATCTCTCCAAGTCCAGCGGATCTTGCTGCTTCCTACGCCCTCCCGTGAAGCTCTCATTCGCCTCTAATTTCCGAAGAAAATGCCCCGTTCTGCATACCAAGACTTGCCTAGGACCATCATATCTTGCTGGTATTCTGAAGGTAAGTGTTTCTGGCGACTTCGAATGGTTGCGTGAGTTGGCATTTACTGACCTGTGGTAGCATCATGAGTGCAACGAATCATCGCTCGCCGTTCATGAACCCAGTCCACGTGGTTGGCATCACGAGTACAACGAATCATCGCCCACCGTTCAGTTGAAACAAACGTGGTGTACATGGCTGGGTTGGGCCAAGGACGAAATCATATCTTGTTGATATCTTGAAGGTTAGTGCTTCCGGCGACTTCGGATAATCGAGTGAGTGGGCTTTTACCAACAAGCCATAGTATCATGGGATTAACAACTCACCGCTACCGGCGCCTCAGACAGCCTACACGCTGCGCGGGAGACGAACGATATCGGGCCACAACAAACGGCTTGGAGGTCTCTCGCTGCAGAACAGGCCTTTCGTTGGCAAGTGTCTGATGACAAGCGAGATAAAAGAGCACCACCAAGAAGGCCACCTATAATTCTTCAACGATGATCATGACGCCATGGCATTTGCCGACATAGAAAGCAGAAGCTTGCCATGCGCATCTCATTCTAGATATCTGCAACGTGCCCAGATTCACTGTTCTACCTGCTGACCATCTCATTAAGACACTCTAAGGCTAGGTTAGACATCCAATCTGCAGTATCATGAACGAATTTGTTCACATCCGATTATTATTATGGTGTGTCAGAAAGATTAGCTCCGCGATGCAATTTGGACCATCGAGGTTGAAAGCTAGTTTTCACATCCAATATGGAGTCAGACCCCACTGCAGGCCTGGGATGAACGGCTTTGCCCTTTTCTCGACATCGGAGAACAGGAACCCCCCTCAACTCTTCGCCATCACAAGTTGGTATTTCCATAGTTGGTTCTTCTGATGAGTTAGTTCGAGAATGGGGTAGGAATAATTTTGGTACATACCCGTCAGGGTTCTTGACGGCTGTTCGTCAAGAACACCCCATGATAATTTCAGAACTATCATTCGCGTTTACAAGATTCCCCGGTCATCCACCTCATACGTCCCATCAAACTCAGGCGATCCCATATTGTACAAACATACCACCCCATTAAACTGCATGATGATGAAACATGTATTTTAGAGAATATTTCCCATCTATGCCTTTCATCGGAGCTACTTGGCCGTAACAGGCTACATACTATGTGGGAAGAACCTCCACTGAGATGAAAACTTTGATAAAACTCGATTTGACAATTAACACCATGAAGAAGATAAAATTCCAATAAAACTTTTGAGCCGGGTGCTAAAATATACAGTCCGCAAAGCAAGTTAAATCGGGCCCCGACTTCGACTGTTGTTTGATAAAAGAGAAAGCAAAAAAAAGCCCCCCAGATTCTCCATCCAAGCTCGCCTCGGCTGTTCTCTGGTCATCTCAATCCTTATCCGTCCCAAGTAGCTTTGAGTTGGTTTCCTCTCGTTTTGAGGACATGATAGCATTTTCCTCTAAGTATAATATCCTTCTCCCTAAGGATAACGAATATTTTCCATCCTCATAAGCTTTTGCGAGAAGACACCATAATGTAAGATTGACGTGGAGGCGTGTGTTTGTGGCTAAAAACACCAAGCCCTTTTTTAGCGGCTGGCGGATTGAAGCGATTGAAGCGAACGGCATTATAATGTTGTTTGGGCAGTGTTGATTAAGAGTAAGGTTGAGTGAGATAGATTCAAGAAGTTGTGAAAGAGAAGAGGGAAGGAGGAGACAGTCTAGTTTAAAAAGCAGTTAATATTCAATTGCTCGGAACTTCCGAGTCTAATTTGTTATCGACCTCTACTTAATCGGGCTAAGTACAAGATGAGGTAACCTACGCAGTTATCTGCAGGTGAATTTGACTCACTATTATCCATGGATGTATCTGTATGTACCATGTACCATGTATCGATGGAAGAAGAAGAACAATATTGTCGTGATTATATGGAAAGTCTAGACAGCATCAACTGGTCGCATGACCTGATACCAGCGCCTTGATGCTTTTATAGTTTTAAAGCAGGCTTTTGGATCCCGCAGCCTATTTTGGACTGCGGATCCCATGGGAATTTCTTTATTCTTTTTATGTACTCCTCGTGGTGACAGTGTTTCTGGTTTTTAGCTCCAGAAGATCTGGAAACTCGTATTGGCCGAGGTCAAAATAGTCCTATCTGCATATTATTTTGTGCTCATCTTTCTCGCTGCTTTGAGTAATTTACATAAGAGCATTTAATTGGGCCAAAATATCACGTCAAACAACAATTGGGAGGATCGCGTGTCGCGCGCGAAAAGAGGGCGCTTAGACATGTGAGAGAAAAATATGCACCAAGATCGCTTTACCGCTCAAAATATATTCAGGACTTTTTTTGCAGCTCCTCCAATTCACATTTTTTGCAGTGCTCAACGCGTTTATATGCCTGGAAGACAGCAAGGATGACCCGACGCGTGACATCCCGGATCGAAGACTCCCAATTGTTGACCGAGAGATCGGCAGCCACGTCCAAGCCAGATAATCAGTCGTACTGGCCAACTATTGGAAGAAAAGAGCAAATTCCAGGATGGCTACGTGATAATGACTATATTTTGGAAGGCCATCCGATGCCCACATATTCTTACAAACGATCTTTGCGTCTGTGGCGCTGTTTACATATGGAAACAATGAATATCTGGACCCATCTTCTGGGCTCGGTAGCCTTTATTGTTGTTGGTTTCGCCCTGAACCATTCTGTCTCGATCTCAAAAGACTTGAATTTCACCTGCGGCGATGTATTTGCTTTCGGGTCCTTCTTGGTCTCGGCAACCATCTGCTTTGGCCTCAGCGCTGGATTCCACACCCTAAGAAGCCACTCTTACAATATCCACCATCTCTGGGGCAAAATGGATATTCTGGGCATCTGTTTCCTCGCCCTTGGAGCTGGTACCTCTATGACATATTACGCATTTTATTGCAGACCCTTCATCCAGCGGGCGTATTGGGGACTCAATCTCTTCTCTGCGATTGGCGCTGCCATTACTTTGTTTGATACCGGCGGTGGAGGCAACAAAATGAGAACTCTGCGAGGAGGTGTCTTCTCTTTGCTCGCTATCTCTGCCATGCTGCCTATCCTCCAAAGCGTGATTGAGTTGGGCTGGACTCATGCGAGTAATGAAATTGGGGCTGGGTGGTATCTCGCAGAAGCACTCTCCCTCTTGACCGGAGTGAGCGTTTTCGTCTGTCGATTTCCGGAGAGACTGAGCCCAGGGACCTTTGACATTTGGGGTCATTCACATCAGCTTTGGCATACATTTGCTGTGCTTGGGGGCGCTTTCCATATTGTTGCTTTGGTGGCTGCGTACGACTACCGTCGGATGCACAAGATCTGTTGAGTTACTTTGCAGCGCAGTCTTATTTGACCCCTGCCCGGTACTCGAAGCAAATGACCAAAGGCTACCAGCATAGTATAATCTAGTTGGAAGGTTTCAAGCTTCGCTTAGATGTACAAAGACATAAGAAAAACTTGGAAGGGGTTAGCCTTAGCTAACGGGTATGCACCGAAAGAAGCTCCAGTCTCTCCTGATATTATCACTAAAATCCATCGATGTAATGCTAATGTGCTTGGTTTTGAGATATATTATAGAAGAATAGTGGGCCGCTTATGCGGCCTTGCGGCATCTTTTTGGTAGTTTTCTTCACAATTTTTTTTGGAAGCCTTCTCAGCTCAGATATTCCTTTTAGATGTGTTTTGTTTAGATACTTCTCCAATATAGGCGGCAAACACGGCTTGAAATGTGCAAGACGACTTTTCCAAGGCTTCGCTTCGCTTGCAAAAGAAAATGAGAATAATTGCTTTGAATGCGGGGAGTCCTTAGTAGTATTGAATAATCATTTCTTTTTACTATTGCTGGGTTCTCTTTTATTTAACAGGCAGACTACATTAGGTAAGATCGGCGTAGAGTTGGCTGTCAATTTCGCATCGGTCTTTATTAAGATATCCACTGCTTGTAAACCTGTACTTGTTTGGATCTTCAATAATTCGCTACTCTTACTTCCATACGCTTAATTGTTTGTCTGCCCCTTCATCTATCACAGACAATCTCAATATATTATTTCATATCTTATTAATTGCAGATTAGAGATCACATGAAACTGAGATAGCTGGGCCGCTTCTTCAGCGCCGGTGGTCTCCGGTGGCCCTGGAATGTTTCGTGCTGACCCCGCAATTTAGTGCGCGAATCAGACCACGTAGGGAATCACCGTGTCCTTATCTCCTGACGAGCCCTTGCATAAGTCTCTTTTTTTTGCTGCAACATCGGCTGGCCTCATGGTAATGTGATTTGCATCAAGTGGAAACCGCTGAAGACTACATATATAATGTCCTTGGGTTTTCGCTGACATTTATGAATAAACACCCCAACCACTTTAGACTGTGACTCCCTCCTTTTTTTCCCCAAGAATGGTGTCTCTATCCAGGATTGCTTTCGTCACCTTCGGGGTCATTCATGGGGCAAATGCGTGGGGTGCATTGGGCCACGCAACTGTTGCCTATGTTGCCCAACATTATATTTCTTCTGAAGCCGCATCATGGTAAGTCCTAAAAAACTCCAAAAAACGGTAATATTCAATGTTAATGTATTTCAAGGGCACAAGAAATTCTCAACGACACTTCTAGCTCATACCTAGCAAACATTGCTTCTTGGGCAGACAAATATCGCCTCACAGATGCCGGCAAATGGTCAGCCCCATTGCACTACATTGATGCCATGGACAGTCCCCCAACAAGCTGCAACGTGGACTACGAGCGCGACTGTGGAGCTGAAGGTTGTTCAATTTCTGCCATTGCCAATTACACCCTGCGCGCAGGCAATAGCAGACTTAGCACTGCCAATACCGCCGAAGCTCTCAGGTTCCTCGTGCACATCATTGGTGATCTCACGCAGCCACTGCATGACGAAAACTATGAGGTTGGCGGAAATGGTATCAAAGTCACTTTTAACGGCTACAGTGACAACCTCCACGCGGATTGGGATACATACATGCCCGGAAAGCTGATTGGCGGCGATTCGCTCTCCGATGCGCAAGGATGGGCCGACAGTCTGGTCGATGAGATTAATTCCGGCACCTACAAGAACCAAGCTAAGAGCTGGATCAAAGGCGATACTATCGGTGATACAGTCACCACTGCTACTCGATGGGCGTCGGATGCCAATTCCTTTATTTGTACTGTTGTTATGCCGGATGGAGCTGCTGCCTTGCAGACTGGTGATCTCTACCCGACATACTACAACTCTGCCATCAGCACGATCGAGCTGCAGATTGCTAAAGGCGGTTACCGACTAGCTAACTGGCTTAACCTGATCTACGAGCAAAATACTGCTAAGCATCGATTAGGGAAGTCAGGAAAAGGGCTCCGAGAGGTAGCTCCTGAACCCGAGTTTGTCCGCGTGTCTCTTCGTGAGCCTCGTCAAATGAGTCGCTCAAATCTGGCTAGAGCTGCTATGGGAGGATCTTGCTGCACCTCAGAAGGGCGTGAGCATAGCCATTGATCCGATTGAATTTGTGGAGAAAACAAATGTTGTGGATCTAGACGCTTAAGACCAGCCATATTTTTGTTCAGGGACTATTACATACATACATACATCCTTCCTTCTTACAACCTTCTTGGCTACAAATTATAACTACTAGCTCTTTCTCTCCATCAGTCTTTCATCTGCAATTATAACAATAACAATATAAAAAAAATATACAACAGTGAGGATTCGCTGGTAGTCACCCACCCAACTTAACTCACCAGCGTATAGCTTATGCACAGCCAGTAGTCTGATGGGGGTTGCCCGGGTGAGTATAAGGCGAGAGCGGCTTTATCGTCGCACGACTCAGGTGAGAAATGTGAGAACCGGATTGTACCTTTTGGCGGTTCCAGCGATTCGGTCGAACAGGTGATTTCTCACTAGGATTCTCTCCTACCTAACTATATCATCCAACCTCGTGCAGTCTATCATTCTTTCCCGCAAGTAACCTCATACATACGACCATAGGGTGTGGAAAACAGGGCTTCCCGTCCGCTCAGCCGTACTTAAGCCACACGCCGGTGAGTTAGTAGTTGGGTGGGTGACCACCAGCGAATCCTCACTGTTGTATGTATTTGCTTTTTTATTGTTTATCCATAAACTTAAGGATAGTATGGTACCTGCGAGTTTAAACCTGATAGACCGGTTGTCGAATTTCTGCCAACGTTTCTATTTTTCTAGTGGTAGATCATCAATTACGGCTCAAAACCTCCCTCCTCTTCTACCAAATTGGCCCCTAATATCGTTTTAGTGGAACACTTTCAATACGAGCTGTTTCCACCTCTTAGACACAATGTACAATTATTTTAGTCTTAATCTCTGGGGGAAAAAGTCATTATATACATTTAATCTATAATTTCATGCCATAATGGGCATGTCGCGAGTTTTCTGCTTCACAATCCAAGATACCCACCTTATTTAATAAAGGAGGCTTGTGACGTTCGACTCTATGGATTGGAATCCAGCCCAACCCAGAGGCTTCTAATGCTTCACCGTTTGCTCTAGGGTACAGTTCAGATCCAGAGAAAAATATCTCGTTCGCTTCTTTTCTTATTTTTTTCCCCCAACTCGCGCGAGTCGTGTACAGACGATCCGTTGCATCACCAACCAATGACGTGATTGCCAGGGACAGGGTTGCGGAATCACTATTTCCACGCATGCTTACTTAGGTAGGTACCGCAATCGATACATGGCTTGACAGACACATACAGCTGACAAGGACCAAGACCCCGATCTGTCGCATTATTAACAGCTAGCTCCGCTCCGATTATACTCGGGTGACTAGAGCCAGAATTAGAAAAGAATGGGGGTGGAGTCGGCCGAGGCCTTCCCACAAGACCCAGCCGTACTCCGTACTCCGTATTTTGAATCCAAGTCTTCAGTGATCACTTGTAACGCACGTTCGATCGACAATGTGACTGATCTACCTATCCAAGTTACTTCCACTTCCACGGACCTTGCCGTCTTGACTTTTATTTTGTACCTACTGGCTCTTCTGCTTGATTTTATCTACTTCTTTGCAGTTCATCTGCTGTAACTTTGGAGATATTATATTAAATTATATTCTGACTGATGTCGAAACAATGAAATCTCAAATGAAGTCTAAAAATTACTAGTGCACTGATCCGGGGACGGTACGAGCCGTCGTCACGTCAGCCGCGGGCAGTATTTAACAGATCTAATAATAGTCTATCTTCTCACTATAATACTACTGGGTCAAGGAAAATATATCACCCACTCCGAAGAATCGAAAATAAGCAAAAGTATTCTAATCCCATTTTTTCCTATGTATATGCCCACCCAATGTGCCTTATATATGACGCCCCTTTCACATGACCTATTACCGATTCATAAACCATACTCATTCATCTCAAAGGCTGACAGAAAGCCCCTTTCAAGTGCGATAACACTCCCCTTTGCATCGTCTCCACCAAGTTGAGATTCGATGGTACTTGCTGATATGGTCGTTCAAGTTATCATCGCGGTTGCAAATCTTGTCGCAAAATGGACAAAAAAAGGACCCCGGGTTGACATGAAGCCATCTGACGTGGCGCTCCAAAGACTCCTTTCCACTGAATGACGATGTACACTCCTCCCAGTGGCATTTTATCTCGCTGCACCTAGGACAGCGGAGATGGCGTTAACACATGAACCAGATGATGAAAGATGGCATTGGATATCTTACGCCTGGTTTGGCTGTGCCTGGTATTGCGGATCAATATGGTCCGTTTTCAGATGATTGATGAGCGATTCAAAGTTGGGGAACAAGCCGTGTTTGGGGCCACCCCAGTAACACGGCAGAGGGAATTGAGGATCCCTGCAGTAAGGGTTAATAAGAGATGAACCACTTTCGCGATAAAGATATGGTGTCAGGGAACTCACTGCGCGACGTGTTGCTCTGCCGGGCTCCCGTAATAGATAGATTGTTCCTCTGACTGGGCGTAACCAGTGTTGCCTAGGGGTGCGTACACTTGCACAGGCGAAGATTGGATGGCAGCAACGAGGTTGGATTTGTCATGCATGGGACTGTGACCGGTACCGAAAATGCTCATATTCAGGGGGTCGGCGGGGTTGTACCCCACAGATGGATTCCATTGGGAGGAACTGGGAATTGGAACTTGAGCCAAAGAATCCGATTGACACCAGTTCGAGTTGTACCATGGAGCGATAGTGGGTTGGTGATATGTGGAAGACTGATTCATGATGCTGCTGTTTGCAAAGTGACGTGTGGGCTCTAGATAAAGCCCTGCACAGGTACATGGGCGGTGGCCACGAAGAGCACAGAGCCGATTCCCGTCATGCAGGTTCGGGTCGACCCAGCTGTAGTTGTGTGACTGCGACATGGTAAGATGTGTCACCAGCAATGCAGAGGGGAAGTGAAGTCGTGTAGAAAAGGCTGTCACTGATGTGGACTCGCAATTGTCCCCGGGGTTAACCCTCGTCTTTATAGGGGACTTGCCCATACTTCTGTTTCATGGCGGGATAAATCAAAGAAATTAAAAATAAAATCACATCACATCAAATACACAGGATGATCATAATGGGGGTACCTGACGTTGTACATGTCGAGCCAGGTAAGTTAGTTGATCCAGAAAAATTCTGGAGATCCGGGCCAGATGTAATAGACGAATTGACAGTACACGGTGATTGGCCTCTAGCCAATCCCATAGTGGCTGCCATGCGATCGTGTCCGTGGGCAAAAGAACGGACCTGACCTTCGGGTGTGCCAGGTGGATATATGTTTCCCAATTCCGCCCAATCACGATATAAATCGTCGACTCCCTCGGTGATTAATCGATAAAGATCGCCTCTTTCAAGGAGCCAAATCATCCAACCTTTGTGCATAAGTGGAGTCGGGAAGGGAAAACAGCCACAGGAACGAAAAAAGGGATCTCTCCTCACGAGATCATGTGGATGCGCACCGGCCCGTCTTGATTTCGATTCCGGCTTTATGTGCTGGTTCTAGAATGGACCTTCGATCTCTTTGGATAGTCGCGGGTTCGGGCTCTATCAGGTTTAATTCTTCTTCTATAGTGTTAGACTTAAAGGAGATAACCCTCATCGCTAGGTAGTAGTTGTACGGAGTATACTAGGCCCATTTTCTCCTTTGAGACTATATTGTACGCACAAGTTGGTAGTGTTTCAAAAAGTAATGTTCATAAGTTTATATTTTAATACATGTAGCTATAGACTTCCTTGACTCAAGTCTCTATATTCGAGCTTGGAGCTTTAAGAAGATAAAAATAATAGTCAGCATATTGCAAATACTCAAGATGGTTATCATTATTTGCCTGACGTCCGTACATTTCGGGCTGGGCAAGTTAGGGGATCGACTTGTCAACTCGACACCGGCAAGAGACGAGACTCTCGGAGATTGTGGAGTAATTTTTCAAAGCGAACTCACAACCTACTATTCATCCAATAATACAACTGCGGTGGGGTTTCAATGGGGTTTCCCGTCTCCATGTATGGGCGTCATTGCTTCCAATATACATGACCAAATAACCTAGCACGGTCTTGGCTTTCGCCTCGCAGCCGTGTACCTACAGTAGCGCGAGTAGTGCGATGGGGACATAGCTGTATAGCCAGTATTGGGCGGATCCACCACATGGTCGCGGACCGTTTCGACCTTGAAAGTGGCAAATATCTCTTTTAAAAAGAAAATACATTTTTTTAATATCGTACCTTACATACACACGTTCTTCGCCTGGGCATCGCAAATTGTTGACTAATCTGACCAAGCCCCGTAAGATATTGTGTATATGTAGGCAGTAAATTCCCCATCCCAAATGAAATGTACAGAAAGCCAAGGGAAGAAGGCCCTTGCCCGGAGTCCATTTGGGATCGACTCAGGCACCGGATACGCCGGGATTAATGTGTATTTCAGAAAGTTGGAATTCCCTAGTAACGGATCGTCGCGGTGTGAGGTTCTGTAGACAAATACGTGCACCGGTCGCTCGGGTCGATACATAGAAGGTGTCGATCTCACGTCTATTTTGTTCTAGTGGCATTGCAATACAGTCGGCGCATTTATGCGCTTCCCGCATTGAGAGCTGCTTGTATTTAGGTTGTATCCATTGGGATTTAGTGAGCGAGATCTGGAACGTTGTGGGGTGCTCCCGAGACAGTCTCCCGTAATGCAAGTGGACAAAAGTGTAATCCTCGGTCGTGGAGACCATCTCTGCCGCTAATGAGAGCAGAGAGCCATGAGTGGGTCTATCTCGATTGCAGTTGTTAGAAGCCCTATACAATAGAGAATTTCACTACGTAATGGTTCTATTCTCGACCCTTTTCTTCAAAGAGATTATGCACAGGTAGTGTTTCAAAAGAAAGTCGATAATTGTATCATAATCCATGTGACTATAGAATTCCTCTACGATCGAGCTTGACTTTTCTTTTAATGAAATTGCGATAAGACAAAATGCGAACAGTTTCTCATACTTGAATGTTATTTGGGAGCCAAAAAGAACCCATTGAACATCAAGGGTAAAGATAACGGTATACTATTTCGTACGGGGGTAGTCCGGTGAGACAGCAAATTAGTCCAAGCTTTTGAGTTTTAGTTTTCCTAGACGGTTTTTCGTTCGTTTTTCTCTGTTCTGCAATTTCCCCGTACACTATTGTATGCATAATTCAAGCTCTCACCTTGAAAATCCGAAACGTCCTGAGTCTTTTGTGGGTCTGTCAGTGGCGGTTCCCCTGACTTTTTTCTTGTACTTTTGGCATCGACCTCTTGGCATGATCAAGGGATTACTTACGATTTATGTATGCTATCGCTACGCCTATAGAGGTGGGTGCTACGAAAATCCTAGGGTACCGAGTATTTGCTTTTTTAATTCTCTATTTGCCGATTCGCCAATACCTTCAGTCTCGTGCTACCGTGGCCTGCTTAGGAATGAACCAACCATCTGGTGACGACAAAACGAGATTTTGAAAAAATGTAAACTCCCCACGTGGCAGACAATGCCCTCTACACACTTCTTGCCGAGAGAAAACAAAGGTGTGGAAATTCTACTGTTGCAAATCCGAGTTGGGCTTTAGAGTTCATCTCTCAGACCTCTCCAGGCTCTCTGGGGCTAGCCGGGGAATCGGACACGAGATGGCGGTGTAGAAATCCAGCCTCTCAATAGGCAAACGCCTATGAATTTTGATTGAGAGATGAGCGTTGTGATCTAGAGCAATCACAACAATACTTCATACCATTAACCTCCGCTCAAACCAGTCGACTCTTGCTAGCCAGATCACCGACGAAAACAGTCAGCGAGGCACTCGGGCTCCGCCGCAGTCAATCGACACCAATACCTGTCAATCTCAGCGATGTGTCGATATCCCCCTCCGCCCGTCCAAATTCGGCCACCAGCTTTGTGACAAGTACGGTAGTAATCTCCGCAACGGCATCACACCTGCTTTGAGAGCTGTCTAGCTGCACCCGTGGGTGTTCCAGAATACCAGTTATGGGTGGACACTATTAACGGTCATTTGGAGGGCCAGACTCGCGCCCTCAAGGTCGACGAAGCGCGTCGAACTGTTCCAGAAGGTGGCCGATGACGAAGAACGTAGAAACTCAAGCGGAATCCCGGTGATGATCTGGCTGGCTGAAGGCTCTCGGAGGGGTCGCTGAATAGCGAACTCCACCAGCCGGAGCACCTCTTCCTCCTCGAGAGGACGCAATCCAATCAACTGTAGTCGACGAGCCACCGCCGCGTTCTCCTTCTCGGCCAGGAGCCCCACGACCTTGAGCGCGCCGAGGTCATTGGCGGTTCCCGGCAGGACTCGAAAGAACTCTTCCATTCACAACATCATTCTCTGCGGTCTTGAATGCAATCTTCCTCATGCGCTCCCCCTTTTGAACTTTGCCAAATGCTCGCTCCACATTGCTCATGGGATGAGAGAACAATCGGCACAACAAGCAGAATCCCACGCGCATTCACGTGGAGACATGGTTCTACGGGAGAACTCAAACACACTTCTATCTGTGATTGATACGTGTTTCGCAATACGGCCTTCACAATGTGGTTTCTACATGCTCGCCTTCGGGTGTAACGATTGCACGTGGAAGTCGTGCGATTCCTGCTCTTGGCTGATGCGGTCAGTTCACGGGAGCAGGGATATCCATGCCTCTATACTATCTTCATTCTCTTCCAGAACTAGCGAACGCTGGATATCGATTATCTCCAGCTGGTAACTGACCACGGGATCCGACTGGACAGGTTCGGACAACACCAGCTGGAGCATCATTTCAGTGGCCATGCATGAGTAATTTGCTCCTGGGAAGATGAGGCTCGATTTCCCGGTGTGTTCGCGCACCGAAGACAGCTCGCGGATGCGGATGATGTGTTCCCACGTTGGCGTCAGAGGCGAGAAGTCCGAAGTCCGTCGGCCCAGCAGATCATGCGGGGGCAATTCAATTATCATGAAAGCGCTTTGCGTTATTGTAACGGATAAAGATCCTTATAAAGAGAATACCTTTATAATTCCTTGCTTCCGATCCCTAATATCCGCTATAGTTTGTATCCTAAGAAACCGTACGTTAATATCCCGTATGACAGCTATCTAGCTCGGTAGACGCACTTCCGATCCCTTCTACAAATATTTCACCTAGCACTAGCGGTGGTATCGTATTATCTCCGCTTCCTTTATAGTACGGAGGCTAAGCGAGATATCCCCTAATTTTAGTTGTCTAGCTACGATAAACTTAGCCGATACTACCGTTGGCCTATTAGTGGCTTTTATAGCTTTCACTCGAGCCCTCTCGACTAGCTTCGTGATTTTAGTAGGGGTTTGCGTCCGGAAGCGCTAAACGCCGTCGGAATCACCTAGTTTGACGATAATCTAGCGGTCCTAGAGGAGATCGGAATGCGTTACGGGGCTAGTCGACGCCGATCTATACCTCGAAAGAAAATGTGTCGGCGGCGGTGCATTCTTAACGGTATCGACATACGATCGAACTCTATTTAGCGTATTAGCAGCTGAAGACGCAATCCTTACCGTATAAATGTCTTATTTAATCTGGCTAGTCTCCTAGCGTAGCTGTTCGAATTGCTACTTCTAGTCCTAGCTAATTGGGTTCTTAATCAGGTCTGTGGTAAGTTCCTAGATAGATTTGAGATAGTCTAATACCGGTCTCGGGACTTTTACAGAGTTGTTACTACTGATATGATTCAGCAACTAGCGTACGTCGTAGTTGGCATCCAATATACGCTCCTCGGTGTTTCGTGCAGAATTTTCGTGGCCTCCTGAAAGGGGGGCCACTGGCTCCCTAGCGCCACCATACCTTCCACCAATATAAAATTGGGATCAGGAGATGGAGTAGGAAGTTAGATTTAACTTGCAATTAAAATGGGAGCTGTAACTAACCCGCGGCGTTGTGATGCAATTTCAAAAATTAGATTCGCGCAAAGATATGTGTTTTTCCTCTGTTCCTAGTTGTTGTGGTGTGGTGGCCTTAGGCTGCAGTGGATGCCTCAGATCAATCACATCAGTTTGCTAGTTAGCTAGATAAATAGTCGGAAGGTCGCCTTCCCATAGGAATCAACTCTCTCCTTTGGTATCTAGATAGTAGATCCCTAACACTAGTTCATTCGGCCAATTCTCGAAATCGAAAGCAGAACATAGATTGTCTACTTGGGCTTTGCTGAAAGATAAATGGCTAAATATTTGATTTTAGAATGCATTTTATAGCTATCAAATTTGAAATTGAATAAAAAGAAATGAAATCTTTAAGACTTCGGCTCTTCAGTGGGATAATATCGCACTATTGTTCACACTTCTAACTCTGGAACAGGGTATACCATGCGCCAATGAGTCCGCCTTAAAGCCTTGTCAACCTTCAAATAGTTGCCTCCACGCGAATTTAACACATAAGTTATAAGCCAATCGACTCTGACACGCCGAACATTTAAGGCTTCCAAAAACATCTCCACAATTTCGACTCTGCCATGCCAAACTGCCTTTCCAAGTGGAGTATTTTGTCTTTTCTCCCTATCTAAAGAGGTTTGGAGGGGGTCGGCACCGCGCGCAAGCAAGCTTCGCACAAGGCGCGTTTTTGTGTAAATCGCAGCATAAAACAAAGCGGACCTGTTGTATTTATCTGCTGCGTGGACTGAAGCACCTCGTTCAAGAAGTAGATTCACCGCAGTAGTCTCATTGTACCTCGATTGAGCCAACAGACAAAGTGGTGGCGTTTTGCTCTCCCCAAATTTTGTGTCTGCTTGAAAGCCATTGTTGAGGAACCAAAGAATTGTTTCCGTTCTGCAGTTGCATATGGCTAGCTCAAAGAGCTTTAGACAAGTCTCATTGGTCGGAGCTAGATCCACATCTGGCCTGGCAACTAGCGAGCGAAAGCTTGCAGGCGGACAACCATAAAGGGCATATTCAAAGAGAGTCTGGAGTTGAGGGCCTGTCGAGTATCGAGCTGGTCCATATCTCCATGCAGTTCTCAAGGGTCTCTCTGGGTCTGGGTCAGAGGGGGAATGCAGGGTCAAGCCAAACTGGTCCAGCACACCGAACCAGACCTGAAAACAAATCCTGTCTCCATGCATGCATACCATTTGAAATATGCGTTTGACATCTTTGCTGTCCAGGCATTGAAGACAGCCTAGATCGATAAATCCTTGCAGTGCACCCTCCCGCATTGAATGTTCATTGATTAACTTCATCCAGGATTCTTTGAATACAGTCGACTGCTTGATAGTGCTTTGAGGTAGCTCCTGAGAACAGCTGGGTTCAATATTCGGAGAGTTCGCAGTCTCCAATCCGTCACCTGGCGTATGGAGAATATCCCGAAGCCTCTCATAGAAGCACTTAAGAAGAAACGTACCGCCAGAGGACCCGTACTTAGAGAACGACCAGCATATAGCGCTAGATAGATTGCGAAACAAACAAGATGGAGACTTACGCATGGCCATGGAAGCCACGATTAAGTCGGCTTCTTCGATATAGCCGTTCCTTACTAGGTCCACCAATAGCCGATTCGCCAATAGGTCATAACTAGTTATGCTATTGCAAATGGTTGATGAGTGATTCCCTTGAAACAACGGTGTCATGAACTCTTTCTTGCCACTTTTCATTGCAAATTCCACAAGGCTGATAGCCGTGAAGGAGGCAACTCTTGAATCAGCGGAATCGACTGAATTGAGAATATGGATTACGAAAGCGTTAAAATCAAGCTTTTCAATCAATAAAGCCGTAGATTTATTTTTGAATGCTACAAGCCAGTTCCACGCCAAAAGGCTAATTTTCTCAAGATCTGGATGCGCGCCTGATGCTGACAAGAAGGTCACAATCTTCCACTGATTTGCTGATGCAGCCGCAAAGACAGGCGGCACAAGATCTGATTGAGCGCTTGTGTCAGCACCGTTGTTAACGAGGTACTTGACGATGTCCAGTTGGCCCTTCAGAGCGGCAACCCACACCGGAGTACAGGTAGCAAAACATCGCCCACCGATGGGGGTCAAAAATGAATCACCCCTCCATTGAGTTGGAGAATCAATAGGATATTGTAGCTTTTCAATGGCATGTCGGAGCTTGCATAGTGATCCTTCCCGCAGCGCCTCAAAAATGTGCCCATGTTGAGGGTCTGGATCCAGAAAACCCCGCGAGATGAAAAACTTGCGGACTTTTGTGTGCTGATATTGAAGCGCGATCTGCATGATACTACGCCTATGACTTGTTGCTTTCAAACAGGGATAATTGTGGGCAAAGAACCCTAGCACTTGGTGGTAATCCTTTTTCACGGCAAAAATAAAGACAGCGTCAAGAATATTTTGATCTTGTGGAAGCCTGATGGTTCGCGTTAAAAGACAGTGCAATCTATCAACGTCGCCTTTCGCCACCAGATATTTCAACCTGCTGAGATAATGGCTTGACTGAGGGTCTGTCGGTTTTCGGGGTGCCAAGATATGATCTGCAATGGGATAAAGAGCTTTGCAGGTTTGTGACAAAGCGGAAATTTCGGAATCATAATCAAGGGAAAGGGTTATGTGACCTAGAATCTCGTTTGGAAGGCGTAAAATCGTCATCTTGTTCAGACAGTTGTAGGTGAAGTCGGAAATTAAAAAGCCAGATCTCGATGTCCACATCGATCGACTGAGGACTAACTCGTTTTGGAATCGCGTTGTATAAATCGGCGAGCCGCTTCATCTCAGCCGCGCAGATCGCTGTCTTCCATGACTTACGGTTAATATACTCATAAAAAGGACTCAGAAACGATGTATTGACTGAGAAAGAATGCGTATAACTGAATCGAAACGACCATCAAGCCAAGTTTAGTTGACCATTTCCCACTCATCACCGACGCCGGTCACAGTGAAAATCTTCTCGTGGTGAAGAGGAAGGAAGAAGAAAGTGTTCTATATGCCTTTCTGGTAGTCTCTAAATGCCATAAATTCAATTTCTATCGACATGACTGATTGTGGTCCGTGCCCTGATGTGTTTACAGCGCTTCCCTTCCTTTTTCTTTCCTCCTCGATCATATCACCATTTTGGTCTCAATCAGATCATCTGATTTTCGTTCCCTTGCCTTCTCCGTAAGGTAAGTGATCTATCTTCTGTCTGCCTTCCCTATACTATATCGCTTATTCCAGCTCAATGGTGCCAGGGGGCTTTGAGGTTCTAGAAAGACGATGTTAGCTTAAGGCGCGAGACCAATAGAGGCGAAGACTTCTACTTACAAATCATAGACAACACGGGACACGCCCTCTACCTGATTGCAAATAGTGCGCGATACATCCTGGGGTAGACAGGTTAGAAAGTGTAGGGAAAAAAACCTTAGAAGGGTATTGGGATTTTTTGGGGGGGGGGGGGGGAGTGGCTCACCTTAAGGAAGGAGTTCTCGAAGTCAAAGACGTCTGCGCTCATGAAATCCTTGGTACCAACAGCACGGAGAATCACGATGTAACCCCAAACTCGCTGGTCACCAAAAACACCAACACTGCGATTAGTATCGAGACCCGCGAAGGCTTGAGATATCTGGGAGAGAAGAAAAGAATTAGCTTACACCTCGGCTGTCTTCGCTTTATGACCCGACTTACCTGGTCGTAAAGGCCAGCCTCCTTGATCATGGTGATGAAGATGTGGTCGGCCTTACGGGCAATCTCCACTCGCTCCTTGGTAACGTCACCGAGGATGCGAATAGCAATGCCAGGGCCCGGGAAGGGGTGCCGGTTTACTAGCGACTCGTGTATGCCGAGCTGTCGACCAATTGCCTATACAATTCAGGTTAGTATAATTGAAGATAGAATACACCCTATCAGGATTAACGTACCCTCACTTCATCTTTGAATAAAAGTCTGAGCGGCTCAATCAGCTATAGATGTCTTGTTAGCCTTCTCTGCGTTGATGAAGAGATAAAAAGGAGACTTACACGCAAGCCTTGCTAAACGAGCCATGTTGGTCAGTAAGTAAATCAAACGATACCAGGCTACTTCGACTTACGCCGTTCATCATCCGCTATGTGCTGATTAGTTAAGGCTTTCGTTAGGGACGGTGGTATTGCTTACCTCAGGCAGACCGCCAACGTTGTGGTGAGCTATCTCTAATGTCAGCTTTGTCTACTTCACCTCGTTGACTCGCTTACTCTTGATAGTGGCCGAAGGCCCGCGGAAGCTTAAAGATTCGATACTAAAATACTATTAGTTTGTTGGACTTAGCAATTAGTCAAAACAACTTACACGTCGGGGTACAATGTCCCTTGTAGGAAGAATTCCACCTTCCCGGAGTTAGGGGTGTTCTCTGCCTCCTTCTCGATCTTGGGAGTCCTGTTAGCCAGCAAGAAGGAATATTAGAGAAGGTCGAGCGTACCCTAATAGCCTCTTTCTCGAACAGATCGATAACTTCGATACCATCAGTACCCTGTCAACAACCAATCAGAGATCTTGAAGTACGCACAAGTCGACCCAATGATCTTCCGCTTCTTTTCGGGATCAGAAACACCCGCAAGACGACTCAAGAACAGCTCGCCAGCCTCAACAACTGTGAGATTAATGCCAAGGTGTTTTCCGAGCGTCTCCTTGACCTCCTCGCACTCATTAAGACGCATACATCCAGTGTCGACGAGGATGGCTTTGAAGCGGTCCCCGATAGCATCACGCATTAGGGCCGCTCCCACAGTGCTATCAACACCACCGCTCACGGCCCCAAGGACAAGTGCTCGGTCACCAACAAGATCGCGGATACGAGCGATCTCAAGCTGGGCGAAGTCGCCCATTTTCCAATTCGGTTGAGCTCCGCAGATGTCAACACTGAAGTTGTGGAGGATTTCGGTTCCGCGGGGAGTCTATATCCGATTATTAGAGAGTTCTAGTGGAATGCCTTGGGGTCTTGGTGACAAACGTGTTCGAGCTCAGGGTGGAACTGGACGCCTAGTCACCTTGCATTAGCATATTCCCTTACTAGGCCACAAAGGCAGGTTAGAGGAAGACAAACCAAAGATAGGCTTCTGCACGTGGGCGATGCCGGCGTACTCGGAGTTCTTGGTGGCACCAATGACCACAAAATCCTATTAGAGTCAATAATAGTGCTCCGGAAATACGAACTCATTACACTCACCGTAGGCAGGCTAACTAGCTTGTCGAAGTGGGACATGAACACAGGAATTTCATCCCCCAAACCAGCGAAAAGCCGGTCGACATTACTATTAACCTTAGTTATTTTAACGTCGGCGTGGCCATACTCTGCGAGGAAAGTGTCAGAATTAATTTCAGATAGTGTTCGTGTTCCAAAGGTTGCAAACCTCGTGCCTCTCCGCGGGCAACATTCGTTGAGTCGATTCGCCATGCGATCTCCTGGCAGCCATAGCTAGGTGAAAAGTATTAGTGTTATACCGGTATCGATACTAAAGCAAGCCATACCAAATACCCCTATACCTCCCGTGTTAGTCCAGGTTCAAATCGAAGGAATCGGCAGAAAGCACACTCACAGAATAGGCACATCAAGATCAAAAACAGCGGGGTCAACATCTACACGTATGAATATAAGTATAGGCAACATGACGTTCGAGGGACGAAAACTTTACGGGGCGAGCCGTCATCGTAGACAGAAGAAGGACCTAGTGACTCAGTCAGACCTCGGCACAAACCATACATTAATCATTAGACTTCATACCTCCAGAGAAAACAATTCCTTTAGGCTTCCATGTCAGATCAGCGATCTTAGTGGTACACGGAAGCAGCTCAGCGAAGACGCCGATAGCCCGAAGCCGACGCAGGATAAGATGGCTCGTTTGAGACTTCAACAACGTGAGTCAGAATTTGCCATTTAGAGGCCGAAAGAGGGCAAGGGAGCTCCCAATACATACGCCAAAATCGAGAACGAGTATAGTCTAGAAAGTAAAGTGTTAGCCAATCCATTCTTTATACGTTTGTAAACCAACTGCGCCTGCACGGTGATCGATCGCAAGTTGCGGAGAGCGAGGACAAATGAGTTTCCAGGCTCGCCATTCCAGCCCTCCGTAGGATATTGACGGTACGTACGTCAAAGTTGTTGTGAGGCTCTTCGGCCTCGATAGTGGGAGCCATTATGATCGTGGTATCGGCGTATCGATATCGAGAGGATTGGTGGGGATCGCAGAGTCAGAGATGAAAAAAAATTGGTTGGTACAGGAGCCGCCTCCTAAATGGGACACCGCCTTTGAAATGGTGAGTCGTGACTCGAGAAACAATTTTTAGTGCGGCAGTACTCCCCTTACCCCTCAATGACAGTGGGGTCCTTTGAGGGCGGTCTGGCACGGGTGTAAAAGGGTTCCCTTGTCTAGTCTTGTGCTCCTATTGGTCACTGAAGTACTTTGTACCAAGCCCTGAACGACCTTTGAGCCTCGCCTGATTGGCCTGTGATTGTCTCGACTTTTATTTGTCAAAGGGGGTGCCCAGGTGAGTTACTATTACCCCAGATATCGCTCTCTGTTGAGGTGGTAAAGGCTGTGCCGACAAAGAATCAGCGTTCGACCCAAGGGTAGACCTCGCCATGGCCCATGTGCCTATGTCTATAAGAAAGGTAAATATAGAAATCTGTTGGACAATGTCGGTCATCTCTTTAATGCCTTTGTCTAGTCATCTCATTAATGCCTCCATTTGTTTGCAGACCGAGCGTTTCTTTGTTGGTTTCAGGGTATAAATACCCTACTTTTGATATACAGAATAGATCATGATTCGATTCCTCTTCTCTCTCTCCCCATAGGCCTTTGCTTGTAGTCTCAACAAAATTCGCTCAATGTATGCGTATTCCGCCTGTATTTTATGACATAGAATTGGATCATGTAGAATAGCTTTTCATGAATAGTGTACAAATCTTCATCTCGGCTTTAATTAGTGTCATTTAGAGTCCATGCCATATTGATCGTTATTTGAATTAACATATCGATCAGTCCAACAAACTGCATATCAACTTTATACCCATCTAAAAGAACTTTAGGGGATTACTTTAGGAGATTATTCAGTTAAGTGAGTTTGGATAAACTGGTTCAATTCCGATTTCAGGGAAAGAAATGCATTATTCAGGCTAAGTTCAGCAGCTGTGCCAAGGCCTTGATCCAGATGTTTCATTGTGAGCTGTGGAACTTGACAGGGATTCCACTGCATTATTTCCCACGGGAGTTCTTGCCTCGGCCGCCAGGTCCATTGCCCAATATTTCGAAATCTAAGGCTCCGATATAGCGGCACTCCAGCTGGGGTGGCAGATAATCGTACCGGCAAGCTTTGGCTCTCTGCTGGCTTCAAGCCATCTTCTATCAAAAGTCGCGCAACCCCTCGACGTTGAAATTCAGACTCAACGCCAATGTCTAGCACCCCGTAATATCTTTCGGGGCTCGAATAACCATCAATAAATTGCCTTGAATTCTCGTCTCTGCAATGTTTGGCCATTTCTTTAGCATGGGATGAGTTGATAATGGGATTCACCCAGTCCCGCAGGCGGTAGGTGAGCTAGGTGTCAAGTATAGAGGTTTTGATTCCTACGTCTGTTAACCGCAAACCCTATTTTTACAGGAGCTGTATATAGCCGCGATCACCTTACATTCTAGAAGTGATTTTCCCTCGTGTGAATGCGCTGATTCTGTTCTAGGCTGTCCTAGAAACCGGATATAAAAGCCAATAATGGTTGGGAAACCGTCCCAGCCGTGATCGTCAGGGCCAAGGACAGCGACGGTCGGGATCGCAGTAGGATTGTCCAAACTGTCTCGGATAATGCCACATTTTGCTTTGATATACATACTTGAACAAATAGACCGATATCGGTAGAGATAGGCGTTTTGTGAATCGTTCATATATGCGGCAGCTGCAACAACCGCAACTCCTTGAATACCATCATGAGTCGCTCTGAGTATCAACATTGGGAGGCAAACGGTTTATGAAATACATAATGTAAGGACAGGGAAGTGTATATATATTCAAATCATCTTCCTTAGCCTAATTCCAGAATGAGTCACTGAAAATTAATTTGTCAACCTTGGAAGGATTTCTCAGATGTGGGTTGAAATTCTTGGTACTTACGATCGCCGAGATGAGTAGATCTACGCCTACATGCAATTTTTTTATAGTGAATATCAATTCGGTTTCAAACCCCATCCCTAGTGTTGGATCAAGATACCGATGTGGCTTAGATGGTAATTGATTGTGGGATAAAGATAGTATTGAAGTTGTTCACCAAATTTGACACTGTGAAAATTGCACTTGAAACATATGTCCTTTGCAACCCCCATCTTCCTGCTTGTCATTCTCAACGTTGACCACATGCCCTTCCCGCTATTCTTATTCCTCTCCAAGCATAACCAGACGTCTTTGATTTACCTCATCCAGCAAGTACAGCTGCAGTTGATAATCTTCATCAACTGTGCTGGCAAGTCCACGTTTGGGATGCGAGAGATCCATTACATTTTTATTGCCGAGCGCATCGAGCCTTTGGATTTCACCTTCAGTGTATCCCTTCTGGCGTAGCTTTGCGCAGTTGTACCGCTGCGCATCTTCAAGGATAGTGAGCAAGTTGTGAATGGCAGCATCATTCCAGCCCAAGTCGCGGAGCTCATCTTGCATCTTCTTCTGAGGGGGAGTTAGGATGGAGAGGTATTTGGTGATGACCTCTGCGGGTGGATCTCTAGGTATTGTATTATCAGTGGGTTCGATAGCATTTCGGTCGAGCTCTTCTTCGGACAGGAATATGAGATTTTTCCCAGTATCATCAAGTATCCACAATCCCTCGGGGAGTAGAACGAGTTGAGGTTGTTCGTCTGCCATGATAGAAGATTGGGTGATCAAAGATAACGCTGAGATCATGCCCTAGAGCCGTGTACTTAAATGACTTGTTCCGGGAAACAGCCCTACCCATGTCTTCTGTTACACCAGGGACTCAGGACTCAACCATGGAAGCGTCAGAATTGTATATTACTTATTTATAGTAAAAACTATGTTCTTTGATGGACATTCTTATACTTATTTTAGTAGCTTATTTCAAGATATTTATATCTAGGGAACAATATAAACTAGAAATCATAGAGAAATCTAATTATAAGACAAAGTGAATTGAAATATCTTAGTAATATTTAAGGTTTGCGGCCCCACAACTATTGCCTTTCCCCACCACGGGTAGGGAGTAGTTCCAGTAGTTTAGCTTCTTCTCTCTTTCTTCCTCCATCATATGAATATCATCATTTTGTGAGAACCTGCATCCTTTCTGTATTCAGCTTCGCTATCAATAACTTACAACTTTATGTTTCCAAGGTTGCCACAGTATACGAATCTCATTCTTCAAAGTTACTATCCCCTGATGGTTCCATCTTGGGTCGAGCTGGAGTCCGAAACACGTCATAAGAAGCTGAATATAAATTTGATTTTCTCCATGGTTAAACATAGAAGCAGATAAGATTCCGACCTAGCTACAAACAGCAATACCACTAGCATAGGACCAGCTACATCAATGCCTAGTCCGAGTGCGCTGTAATGTATTCGTTAAGGCATATTTTAACCATGGGGAGAATTAACTCACTGGGTGGTTGTTCGCGCATCTTCTCTAGTAGAGGTTTCCGTTGGCGCAGAAATTTCATCCTTGAGTATTACCCGCCGAACAATACTTCTTATAATTAGCGCTTCTTTGTTTTCTAGTCTTAGCATGATTACGAAAACGGGTGAAATTACGCCTTGATATGCTCAGTTGATTCCTAATATTCTATTAGGCTTATTTGCGGCTTGTCCGTCCTGTATAGCTGACTTCATACCGTCCCTTAAATAGCTTAAACCATCGCGTAGTCCCCGGATTTAGGCAGTGTTTCCGGAGCATCAACCCATCAACCTAGCATTGCGAAATTGTCGAATACTAAGATCGAATACATGGTGGAAACAAGGTATTAACCGTGCCAAGCGCCCAATACACCTGCCGGGTATTGGTGCGCCCCAGCAGATGCAAGATTTTCACCAGATGCAAAATCTAGAAATTAGGTATCTTTTGTATGACTTACCTATACAAAAGGTACTTAGGCACCCCGTAGGCATAACATACATTTTCTCAGCCCTCAAACTAGTAGAAAACTACTTCACACTTATAATTATCCGTATTCCAAGATTAGAGACCTATAACATAGAACCAAACAGTGAAGGTAGCTGATATACTCGAGCAGATGAATGAACCGAATGAACCCGTCAACATATGAAATGGCACCTGTCGTGTCCCAGATGATAGTCCAAAGCACAGAACAAACGCTGAGGATAGTATATTACAAGATTTGCAAGACTCAAATCTCTATAGAGACATCGGAACTGGGCTTGACTTCGTTGATTCTCAGATTTTGCAGTAATTATTGCAAAGTTACAATAGAGCTTCATTCCCGCCAACTCAGTTTTTCACGCGATTAGTGCATCTCCGTTAACCAACACGCAGGATCTACTTTTGTGAAATAGCCGATTTTATTTTCCGGCGCCACCTGGATGCACGCTGAGTCCTCTTAGTAAAGTCGGGCTCGATTCCCTGGGGACCTTTGATATCCGTCGGCTCTGTAGGTCCATTGAGAACTAGTGGAAGTTCAGGTAGAGCTGAAGGAGGCAGTAGACTTTGTCCGATCTTAGGATGACTCGAGGTTGAGTAGGTTATCGAATTGCCGACTTGGTCTTCTAGAAACGAAGATGTACAAGATCCATTGCGACTTTCGATCTGAACATGTGGGCTCGTAATAGAAGTATCAACTCTCCATTCTTGGTCGGTATACATTGTGAACTCTGTTGGATCCAAGCTGTATGGTGCGGACGTTAACGAGGAATCTCTCCGTCGCTTGAAGTTTGCGCTTCTTTTGAGTTTGACCTGCAAAGCGGTAAGAAAGTGATTCTCTTGAAAACAAGGGATGCGGTGAAAGGTACTTTTGATAGAGCATGCGAATTCTTCTGTCGTCTCCGAAAAGTTAGATGCTTAGCAGTTGAAATCAAACGAACAAATAGATCTAGAGCCATTGGGTAGGAAAGTGGAAGTCTCGCCCCTTGGGAGCGGGATGACAATGGTGAAAATTAATCATGGAAAGTTTCTGGCAAGCTTCAACATTATATAATTGGATTCTAAAACCTTACGTATAGATCTGCATGGCAAGAGGATCAACAAGATAAATTCCACGATAGATAACTCTATGTGCTAAGGTTATTTATGTTCTCAAGCCCCCTCTGTTTACTCTTGCCATACCATAAAGGTGTAGTCCCTAGTTTAGCTATAGCAAAATTGGGTGATGTTGGAGCTATTGCCGTAGGAATGCGATGATCTTTTCCCGCTCGTAGAGTGTCATATCTGAGCCTATTATCCAAAAGATAGTGGTTAATTTGATTGGCTGTGTTTCAGATTTATCAATTCAAATCTGGACGCGGTCAACCTTGATCGGATACCACAAGGGCATTTGGCAGGTTACATTTGTCCAATAGAATGTTGTTAAGGGGTGGAAAAATCAGCCGCCAATCAGAGAGCTGACTTCAATCCCTAGCAGACATAACTACATACTTCGCACTACTTGCATATGTTTTGCCTATATTACACTAATATATTTGAGTTTGTCTTAAACGTCGAGGTCAACATGATTTGTCGCCCTAGAAATAGATAGGGTTAAGAAGTAGGACAACCCGGCGTTGTAGCGAATGTTAGACTTAAATGCTGATAGGACGCTCTCGTAATTTTGATCTGTTCCCTTATCCTATTTTTATTTATATATTTCTATTCTCCTAATTCCTCTCCTATTGATTACTTATCCTTCCACCTCGTTCGAATTCTTTAGTATAGAATTTATGTGGTTTACGCCATTTCTTACTAAATGGCCCCTGCTTTTAACTAGATCTCTCACTAGCTTCCACCAGTTTTATGATATACGTGCCCTGAGGAAGGACTTTTTTTTTGTGGAAGGAGAGGGGGTGAGTAGGCTTCCCTCTCTTCCTACGAATACTATATTATAGTACACGCGAGTTAGATGGCCTAGGAGGGACGCTATTGTATAAAAAAAGCAATGAAAACAGATAGTAATATCCAAAATATCACCCAAATAACAACCACCTCAAGTTTCTAGAATATGAAATAAGTAATAAAATTGCCCAAGAGACAGATCGGTGTGTTGATCAACAGAAGTAGAAAAGAACTCGTATCTTCCGGGGACGAAAATATATGCTTCATCTATCAAGTCATCCATCGTAGAGGCCCGCTTCTATAATACTTGATTCGTTAGCTTGAATGAGCTGGGTGATAGTAAAAATTATTCCGAGGATTTTACCGAGACAAAAGCAGCTGAGCTCAAAGGTTTATTGATTGTACAACAAGCGTCGATTCCAACAGTTCTTGCTCTCTAAAACTTTATGTGAAATTTGTTCTTTATCAAATAGCACACCCAAGTCGCAAACCTTTTTCTTTTGCCTTCTAACGCGGTTTCATGGCTGTGCATCTAAGGCTCTCTAAGCTTGATATAGTAGTTTCTGTAATTTCTTCATATTTAATCAAAGATTTCTAAGGCTTAATAAGGCTATAATGCTACACAAAATACGCGACTAAAACCTTGGAATTGACAGGGTACGCCGAGTACGCAATTCCCGGAATTGGCGGATAGTTCCCCACTTTTTTGCTAGCATTTTAGCAGGTGATTGGGTTGCCTTCTTTCTTACAAGCCCTTTCCTGCTTCTAGACTTTCCGCATTCCAAAGATGTTTTCAGCTACCCAAGTATGGCATGAAATGTCAAGCTCGGTAATGGTTGGCAATGATTCGACTCCTTCAATATGCTGCAAATGTCTGTTGCGAAGCACGGACATGCTCAGTCCTATGGTGCAGTTAAAAATTTCTTTTTCCGGTTTCTTTCTCCTTAGAAAATGTTGTAAGGCAATCTACTGGCTAAATGGCCCTTTACTTCCCAATTTATTAAACATAGGTAAATACTAACCATGCCAAGCGCACCAACGCATGTACACTGTATTAGTGCGCCCCACCGGATATCATATTTTCAATTTGTCAACCTATGGAAATCATATTTACAGGTAACCACCAGTAGTATCTATATACCAATTTCCTCCTATACTATCTCTTTGCCGCCATTGAAGCTTCATGTTAAGCTTCAGCTAAATCTCTTCCTGCCTGAGCTCGCTGCTCAGCTTCCAATCTTGCCATGCTTCGCTTGCAATCGCTTCAACCATCCTGCCTTTCTGCCATCATCATATTTGCACATATAGGTAATAGCGTTGAGCCCCTAGTACCAATAATCGATTTCCTATTTCTTGGCTTATTTGCATCTGCCTTGTGGGACTGAGAGCTCTTTAAACACGCTTTAACCAGATCAAGCTGCTGGGATAAAAGCGAATTTGCATCTATACTCCGTTAAATATACCTTTGTACGCTCTTAGACAGGTGCTGAGTTTGCTCCAGATCATTGATAAGCTTAGCATTAAGCTTAACAACCCGCTCAATTGTATCTGGTGGAGAATTGGTGACTGAGTTTGTAAAGTCAAAGAGAAAAAAAAGGGGGGTTGTAAAAATGCGAAGAGGAGCTTCAGCTGCAAGCTCTCTTTGACGTAAAGGACCAAGAATAATCACTGGATCTAAAGGGTAAATACCCCCAGGTCTAAAAGAAGATCTAATTGTATTTTGTGTAAGATCTTGCTCCCTACCCCCTTGGAAAATCCGGAAGAAATCCCGCTTCTTACGACATTTTCATCTTGATTTGACATTGTGGTGTATTTCTTTATGCAAAAAGAACAGGAATAATCATGTAGGTGGGCATTAAAGTCTTTCTTTTCATGGCTTGATATCCCTATACAATCTCCGATTCTTTGTCCTGATCGGGATCTTTCTCTATTAGGTGCACTTTCTAATGATTTTATAGATTACTCGCACTTACTTTGCTTATGGCATATTAATAAGAATATTGCCGCAAAATTAAAAAAGCGACTTACTACTAATAAACCATGGGATGAGTTCAATAGCTAATGGTAGAGTCTTGTCAATTCACTAACGGAAGTTGAATATTCTGGTTTAAACATCCTATACCTTAGGGTCTGCCTATTATGGACAAAATATAATTCAAAATAATGCATTTTAATGGGGGTACCGTTTGGAATTGGGATTTCTCCAGTAATGGTACTGTTTATCTGGGACATCTGCATGCTGCTGGCGTTGCAGGGTTGCAAAATGTAACACTGAGCACAGTCCACTGGTTCCTACTGAACTCTCAGCAGGAACCGGCTGACTTGCGACCTGTTAGGGGGTGAGCACTGAGCGCTATAAGACTGCGTAAAGGTTCCTAACCGGGCACACATTCACTATTAAAATAACGGTGTGTCATAGCTTCAGGTCTGTATATGCAATAAATTATCGGAATATGTCCGTCCATCTACGCATGAACAGTAAACTTGCTCTTCTTCCTCAACTTGTCCCCATACATGAACAAATACCAAAAGCCTACCACCAGGGGTATGCTTAACCCCCCAAGCAATGTACAACCCTTCCCCACCCCTAAGTTCAAATATAGAGGCCGCCCAAAAAGCACCGCACCCGCTGCAAACGAGCTTCGCAGCGCATCATTGGCCGCAAACAGGCTCGCTGCGTACTCCGGATAGCTCAAGGGGAGGTGTATAAAGATGCCCAGTCCAACAACAAATGAGCACCCGCAAAACAAGACGACGCCGAGTGTCGGCACAGGCCAGGGGACCGACGCACGCGCCGCCCATCCGAAGAGAAACATGCCGAGTGGAACGCCCAGCACACCAATAAGGCCGGGGCGCAGAAAGGTCTCCTGGACGTCGAAAGTGCCGAGACGCTGGAAGCGGCGCTGGACGAAGACACGGTACCAGGTGCAATACCAAACTGCGCCGATGATGCATGCGATGAGGACGCAGACAAAGACAGCGCCTGTCTCGCCAAGACTGAAGCCGTATTCTTTGGGATATACCATAGGGATGACTTCGAAGAATGAGTAGTAGATTCCGTATGTAAGAGAGGTCTAAATATCCCGTCAGTAAATCATCGCAATATCCAGGAATCGCAATATTCAGGACAGCCCAAGCAATGAGGTGAAACAAGTAGAACCTACATAAAGATTCGTAAACGCAATGGCAGGGTCCTTGAGGGTGATCTCAAATGGCTTGATAAGCGCAAGCTTTACCAGTTGGCTGCGCGAGAGCCCCTCAGACCGTATGGAATCAATGGTGACGAATCGGTCCGAACCCGTCTCTTGTCGGAGACGTTTGGCTTTGTAGAACAGCAGTGTCGGCGCCGATGTCTCGGGAAGAAACAACACAAGCAAGACGAAGACAAAGCCTGCGAGCCAGACTATCTCCCACATGGACCAGCGCCAACTAACAACCTCCCTGTTAGTATCTTCTGACAGCTAGATATAAGAGAGTCTTACCCTTTGACAGATACGGAGAATCCAGACAGCAACGGACCAAGCGCAGGGCCGCAGTACATGGCACCAGACCAACCCACCAGGGTGTATGGCATGTATATGACGGAAAACTACAGTTTTAGGTTAGCCATGGTATAGTTATGGGGGCCGTCGAGCATACCATGTCACTCAGGGACGCTGCCCCAGTCGCCAAACAGGGACTTCCGAAGAAGCCCTGTAAAAAACGCACGACGAGGAACCCCGCAAAGCTTTTGCATACCCCGGCTATGGCCGACAGGACGATGAAGATGGCAAATGTACTGATGTAGACCGGGTTCCGGCCGATATGCGGGATCTCACTCAGCGGAGAGAAGAGGAGGGGTCCGATGCCATCTAAAACCTTAGGTTAGTACTTGACCAAGTGCCTTCAGTCCGTTTAAAGATATATTGAGAACACTCACAGCCGAGGACGTAGAGAGCTAGACCTAGGGAGGCGACGACCTCGGAAACGCCAAATTCTTCCATTACCTGCCTGTATCAAGTCAACAACACAAGTCTTTCGTCCACATCATAAGTGTTTGCTCACGTACTCTTCGCTTGGGACGTATATTGATGATCCACAGTACACTGTGAACGTGTAGATACTACCAACACGTTGATTAGCAGTCTGACAGTCGAATGGGCTGTGTATCTATCTCACCAAATAAGAGTCGTCACTGCCACCTTTCTTGTTGCTGACCAGTTGTAAGGATTCTCTGCATCCTCATCGGAGACCCTATCTGCCATGTAAGCATGCACGTCACAGCGCCAATAAATAAGACGGATGAAAGGTCGCTTACCATGTCACTGGAATCAAAGGTTGCTCATTTTCCTCCTTGTTCTCAGCGAAGCTGGGGTTCTCACTGGTGCAGTACTTATGATTTTCGCTTGAAAATGCCAGGACCTTGTTCCCAGTAACTAGTCGTGCAAATACACCGAGTGCTGTTGTCCGAAAGAGATGCGCCATGTCCTTTCTCTCTGTATGTATCGACTGCGCGAATGAATGTGATAATTAAATTGACACAAGCTTGCATGCTACGCCATTAAATAAGAGAAAATTTTCTCTCTCCTTAATTTTACTAGAAGAAGCAATCTCCGGTTAGGCAATTCGGGATCATCTCAACATCGGAGTTCGAATGACCCACCGTTAGGCTATTCGGGATTATCACGCCCACCCAGGACATGATTACACCGCCAGAGCACCCCGGAACCCAGCAAAGCTCCATTATTCATGCACAGAAATACGGGGGCCAGCCTTGTCTACTTTGCGACATTATTCTACACCGGCATTAGTTTCCAAGTTTGCGTCGTGGTTCAGGCGGCGGGAGCTGAACTACGCCGAGGGGCTTAGGGCACGTTTTTAAAGTGCGACAGCTACATACATAATGTATGTAGACTTGCACTACTGAATATTATGCTTCCTACTTTGATGTGACTATGGGTGTCCCGAAAAATAACCTTTATCAACTAATACAGTCTAAGTTCGGATCTTTTCCACCTCGCACCGTGAACTAATACCTTCTTAATCTACATACCTATACCATCAGTGAGTGCAGGTAGAGGTAATGTGAGTCGAAGGATGGTCTGGGGTCGGTGCTACATCTCAATATCATGCCGCAGGCAGCCAATGTTGAGATCTGTTATATGTAGAAAACTCATTTTCACACTCTCTACCTAGAAAGCTTAAGGAAGCCATCTAAAAGAAAGACATCTAAAAACTACCATCGAGCCAACTGGGTCATGCCATTCTCAACGACGCGGCCGACTATGCTTTTTTCTTTTCAATTGAAAATGCGTTTTGTATCGTCGTTCGTTTATAGATGGAGGTGCAGGCACATGATGCCCTGACCGAAATGTGCCAATGGAATTGCCTCAGGTCATGCTTCCTAGTGCATGAAGCCACTCTCCGTCGAATATATTGGCAACCATGGCATCCTGTTCAGCGAGCAGGTCAAACCCGGTACTTGGAGCTCGAGGGACCGAATCCGCTCGCATAAGAGCATTGGCTATAACTCGCAGTTCATGCAGGATATTCTTGGCTCTGGGCCAAATATTTTCGTAATGCTTGAGCGTACCCAGGCAGACTCGTATGCGCGACCGCGCCACCTCGACCTCATCCGGTGTCAATCCCGACTTGCAGGCGACCAGGTAGGCAATCGTGCAGCACGCTATCATGCAAATGAGAAAGGGTGAAAGCTGGGCGGCACCTAAAGGCAGCAGGATCAAGCACTGGTTTTGATTGCGGACGGCTTGGAATAACTTGTCCGAGTGCGTTCGATGATTGAACGCGCCCGTAGTTATCGTGCTGGAGACTAGAGGTCGTGGAGGTGTGCCACAGCTTGACAAGTCTTCCGCGGGATCGTATTGAAGGTTCGACAATGGCCGATGGATATATGCCAGAGCTCTATTTTGTTAGTATAAGCATCGATTCTAGCATTGTTTCTTGTAGGGATGCATACGTGTACATCATCATGTGAGCTTGGAAGATGAGTTGATCTAGGAGATCAGGCTGTACGGCAAGCTCCCATTTGTCGGGCGGAAGCATGACAAACCAACCAACGATAGAAGCCTCCAAGTCGCTACAGAGGAGTTCCGCCTTCGGTGGGTTTTCGTATTGAGTTGCCACTCTCAATGAGCAGACAAAAATGCGCGTTGCATCGATAAGATAGGCAAATGATGAGAAGCGCGTGGTCGCCAGCGCGTACTCTCGGTTTCGGTAATCGATGGAGGAGGCTCTGGTTCGTGGGATATCCTAGGGCTCTACTGATCAGTAATCCAAGGATATATCACACGGAAACAGTATTACCGTGGCGCAGTAGTCGAGGTCATCACAAGGTAGGTCGACATCGTGATCCGTGTCATGGATCGATGTAATGAAGTCGTAGCGGATAACGGAAAAGTTCAGGTCAGCCAAGTAAAGCATCCACCATGTCCGCCTCCAGCTCTCGGCGAGCACAGGGTCGTTTTCGGCCGCCACATCGGCAAAAGCCCTGGTGTGCATGCCGATCAGCCTGGCTTGCTCGATGGATTTTGCCAGAAGCACTTCGGAGGCAGCCCGCTCAGCACACATGCTCTTGGCTAGTGCTAATAATAGCGTCGTTTGAACTACGAATCCGTCCACCACGTCAATACTTTGCTCGTCTGGCATGCGCTCTCTTCTCGAGGAAGAGTCCCCCTCCCCGTAAGATGAACCAATATATTGCATGACGGCGAGCAGCGCCCGTAGGCTGGACCATTCAGACGCTAGTTTGGCTTTAAGATTGGGCCTCGGCAGGACAAATGGATGGCTGCGATGAAAGTATTCGTAGTATAAATCCAACAGGGTATTGTTCGCGCCCATACTGTTCTCGACTTCGATGGCCGAGGCCAGTGGTATCTGGGATGAGGTGGAGACTGACGAGTGATCGTGATCTTCTCCTCCGAGCACGGAGGTATGTGTATCGGACGGTGTCAGCACATGAGAGGCAAGGCATGATATTTTATGCTGCTTTCTCCTGGAGTTCGCGGCCTTGTATCTACCGCTACGTCGTGATTCGGGGTATGAGCACGCTTTCAGCAGGGTTTGACATCGTGCACATATAGGGAGTGCCGCGTCGCATTTGAGATGCTGAGTCCGGCATGGCCAACACGCTAGAGAGGCTCGGGATGCTGATTGGCGATTCATCGTACATGCGATGGGCTCGAAGTCAAGGTACAGCTCCAATCTCTCTAGGGCCTGTGCCATTAGTAAATACCTCGGAGCTAGTCCGATGCATCTTGTGGAGATGAGTGAGGGTGAGTCAGCCGCCAGGTCTCGTCCACCTGGGCACTGTCACGGGCCCGGCTAGGCCCGATTAGAATATGCAGGCTACAACACCCGTGGACTATATCCCTGCTTATACATGGAAAAGTCCCGCAAGCTGTTTTTACCGCCTAAACTCAAGCCACAACGACAATAAGGGAGAAAATATCTACCAAAAAAGACCAAGGTCGCATAGGTGACTATTCTTGTATTTTATACATAGTATGACCTTCATAAGTCGTTCGGATTTTGACCTCACTGAAAGAAGACGGGCAATTTGTGTGCTAAACTAGTAACATGCAAGACACTTTTGACTGGTCTTGTTCATCAGTCCTTGACTCGCCACTATCTCACTGTCAACACAATTCTGCTTGAGGCAGCAGTAACACCACATTACTTCCTATTTGGGGTTAGTGCCATGCCACATCACCATCACCCCAACACCTTAATCGACACCTTGACATCAATACCATCTTGGCCAATGTCTGCCTAATTCTTGCTTCAGGATCTGTAACAGCCTTGAGTGGGTCGCGTCTTGGTATCTGAGCGCTAAGGATTCTTGCCGCCTGAAAAGATGACTCAGGGGATTCCGAACACGAATATTCAATTTCACAGTTACACACGAAACTAGAACCCCGAGATGGTGCAGAAGTCCTCCGTCGACAAACAAAGAATTTTCTTTCATCGGAACGCTGTGTTGACGGGGTGAAAATGCATTCTCCGTCAGCTTCCCCGCATCTTGTCGAAATGCAGGACATACCGACATCGCCAGAATATAACTCTATCACCAGTCCAGATATGGTCGCTCGTTCAGAGAAGTCAAATGACGAGACAGCCAAACCAGCAAGTCTCGGTAGCTATGCGGTAGGTTTTAATATATTGATGGACCTGGCTTTGTCTACTATCGCTGACGCCTCCTGCAGAGGATTCTATCATATGGTGCCTCTCATGGGGGTATTTATATTATGATTTTAGGGCTGATTTGTGCCATGGCTTCGGGAGTTGTATGTCAGAGTAAACTTCGAGCTGTACTGAAGATCAACTAATGAAATTACAGGCTCTTCCGTTGATGAACATTGTCTTTGGCCAGCTGGTCGGCAAGTTCAATGAGTACTTTATTCCGGGGTCGGGTATCACAGAACAAGAATTCAAGTCCTCGGTCAACCAAAACAGGTAAATATTTCGCACTTGATTGCTCATCAGCGAACTTACCCTCTCCTTCTAGCTTGTATATTGTGTATTTGTTTATCGGAAAATTCTGTCTGACTTATATATCCATGGTACTGTGATTTTCCACCTCCATAGCTCCGTTGTTACTCATACGAGACAGATTTGTTTTCGATTGACCAGCCTGCGCGCCTCAGGGGCCTTACGCTTGGAGTATACCCAGGCTCTTTTTTCACTTCCTGTAAGCAAGATAGACGAGATGTCAGTCGGAACTGTCACACATGCGATTACGGCACTATCAAATACGATCCAGCAAAGTGTTTCCGATCGACTCGCCATTCTGTTCCAGTCACTCGCTTTACTCATTGCGGCTTACGCAATCGCATTCCGTTATTCCTGGGCACTGACGCTTGTTGTCAGTTCGGCCATTGTATTTGTGGTCCTTGGTTTTAGCCTGACGGTGCCATTTTTGGTGAAGGGGCAGCAGAGTGTGGACAAAGCGGATGAGAAGCATGCAGCCCTCGCCGCTGAAGTATTCGGCTCTATTCGGACAGTGTTCGCCCTAGGTGCCGAGCAACCACTCTTCAAAAAGTATACACGGTGGGTCGAGGAAGCACGAAAACGTGGCCTGCGTATGTCTTTGGTCAGTGGAATTCACCTTGCAATGCTCTTCTTTGCCATGTATGTCAGCTTCTCTCTGGCCTTCTGGTTTGGGTTGAAGCTGTATCGTGAAGGTCACATTGCTAATATTAACACCGTGATCACGTAGGATTACCCCGTCTTTTGAATAATCTTGATGCCGTTTTCTGACAATTAATTAGGGTATTCTTTTCCGTGCTCCTCGTCGTCACTATTTTGGGAGGCATTGCGGGGCCATTGATGGCTATCTCTAAGGCCATAAGTGCATCAGGTGCCTTTTTTGGTGTTATTGATTCCAAGCGGGATAATCCACCTGGAATTCGAGAGCCGGAGGTATCCAGCCATGATGATATCGTGTTTGAGAACGTGACATTTGCCTATCCAACACGAACAGAAATGACCGTGCTTAAGGGATTTCATGCACGATTTGAGCGAAATAAAACCACGGCTCTGGTCGGACCCTCCGGTTCGGGGAAAAGCACCATTGTCGCTATGATTGAGCGATGGTATCAACTACAGCCCGAGGAAGAAAAAGAGACCACGTCGGGTTATATCCATGTGGGAGGTCACAACATCAATGACTTGGATGTGAAGTGGTGGCGGTCGCAGATTGGACTTGTTCAGCAAGAGCCGTTCTTGTTCAATGATACAATATACAACAACGTTGCTTTTGGTCTGATCGGATCGCAGTGGGAGAATGATACAGAGGCTGAGAAGATGGAACTCATCACCGCGGCTTGCAAGCAAGCCTTTGCAGATGAATTTATCGACCGCCTTCCCATGGTATTATTACTCCTTTTTCGCTGCATTCCTTTCATTTTCATTTATCTGATTGTTCCATCTCTAGGGTTACTCGACCACTGTTGGGGAAGGTGGAATCACATTGAGTGGCGGACAGCGCCAAAGAATTGCAATCGCGCGAAGCATCGTCAACCAACCCCAAATTCTCATTCTTGATGAAGCGACCAGCTCGATCGATATTCAAGGAGAAAAGATTGTGCAAGCAGCCCTAGATCGTGTGTCCAAAGATCGCACTACAATCATGATCGCTCATCGCTTGTCCACCGTCCGCCGCGCGGACAAAATCATCGTCATGAAAGACGGCCAAAATTTTGAAGAAGGTTCTCACGAAGAGTTGATACTCAAGGAAGGGATATACCATAGCTTGGTCCATGCACAACAGCTGGAGCCACTGACAAATTTGATGGATGTCGACGTGCCGGACTCGATTGCTTTGCAGAAAGAAGAAGTCGGCCCTCAAGATTTCACCACCAAAGAAGGGGGCGATCAAAACTGCCAGGATAGTCCCGAGTCTGAAAAAGACTTTGGCTTTTTCCACAGCTTTGGTGTGCTCATTTATGAAAACCGTAGCCATTGGGTGTTATATGCACTGACGCTGATTGGGGCTGTAGGGGCAGGTTGTAAGTATTCAGCATGCTCTCCCGCACATTTCCAGATATAAGCTAACAGGGTCAAATAGCCGGATTCTCTTTACAAAGTTGGCTTTTTGCCAGACTTGTGCAGGTTTTCCAGTTCACTGGCGAGAAGCTAGTGAACGCTGCGAACTTCTGGGCATTGATGTTTTTCGTCCTCGCCCTTGCCATGGCGACCTTCTATTTCATGCTAGGATTTTCGTCGAATTCGATCTCCATGGTGAGTCTAGACTTACCTATATCCACGGACTTCAAGCAAGGCTAACTGTTCAGTTCGTCGTGTCCAATGCTCGGATGGACTATTTTTACAACCTATTGTCCAAACCGGTATCATACTACGATCGCGAGGAGAATTCCTCAGGTAGTCTGATTTCCAGGCTCTCTACTGATTCAAAACAGTTGCAGGAGATGTTTGGTCCCACTGGTGTTTTCCCTCTCATCTCAATCTTCAATATCGTTGGATGTGTTGCAATCTCCTTTGCCTTTGGATGGAAGCTGGCAGCTGTCACCTTTTTTGCCGCCATGCCATTCTTATTTCTCTCTGCCTTCATGCGCATTCGGTATGAGATCAAATTCGAGAGCCTAAATGCCGAAGTTTATGCCGATAGCTCCAAGTTCGCAACAGAGGCGGTCCGGGCCTTCAGAACGGTCACTGCTCTAACCATGGAAGATTCAATTTTGGAAAGATATTCAAGATTGCTAAAAGATCAGCGCCAAAAGGCCACCCGGAAGGCGTGGTACGCAACGTTGGTCTTTGCGTTTTCCGACAGTGTTGAGCTATGTGCCATGGCGCTCGCCTTCTGGTACGGCGGCCAGCTCCTCGCGTCCCACGAATATGACCCAGTTGCATTTTTCGTGGTCTATATTGCCATTATTCAAGGCGGCCAATCGGCTGGGCAGTTCTTCAGTTTTGGTCCAAATATTGCGCAGGCTAAGGCCTCTGCCAATCGCATATTGGCTGCACGGCTACCTCCCGCGGGACAGCTTCAGCATGTTCCGGTAGGGCCGCTCTCTACTTCGGAGTACACCCCGAGTCCCTCTGTTGATCTACAGAATGTCTCTTTTCAGTATTCTTCTCGGGAGGTACCAACGTTTACTAATCTGAACCTTGCTATTGAGAGTGGTCAATTCGTAGCATTTGTCGGACCTTCGGGCTGCGGAAAATCCACGCTTGTCTCGCTACTCGAGCGCTTCTATGACTGCACTCAGGGAAGCATCCTATTCGGTGGCCGAGACATTCGTTCCATTGAGCTATCCTCTTACAGAAGTGCTTTGTCGCTCGTCCCCCAGGAGCCGAAACTCTTCGAAGGCACCATCCGCGAAAATCTCCTGCTCGGTCTGGAAGCCCCCAATAACCCGTATACCGAAGACCAAATGATTCAAGCATGCAAGGACGCCGAAATCTATGACTTCATAGTATCCCTGCCAGATGGCTTCTTGACAGAACTTGGCGTCAACGCCCAGGCCTCGCTGAGTGGTGGGCAAAAACAGCGTCTTTGTATTGCGCGAGCCCTAATCCGAAAACCGCTACTTCTCCTTCTTGATGAGGCTACATCCAGTTTGGACTCTCAGTCGGAAAGTCTTGTACAAAGTGCTATGGAGAGATTAGCAAGCAAGCGAAACATGACTATCATTGCGGTCGCTCACAGACTAGCAACGATTCAGAAAGCCGATGCAATTTT